CCCGCCTGGATCTTCGCTACATCAATTTCAAGATGGCCAATCTGAGCCGCTGCAACCTTGCCCACGCCAACCTGTGCTGTGCCAACCTGGAGAGAGCTGACCTCTCTGGATCCGTGCTGGATGTAAGGATGCTGCAGCCTGGGCTGCCCTGTGCTTGTCTCTAGAAACAGGAATTGGAACAAAAAAAATCAGTTTCCCAATATTTTCTGTGATTGTTCTACTCGCAGTGCTTGCTCACAGTAACAGGGGGGTTGTGCTTTGGTGGGGGTTCAGTTGCAATTCTAGAATTTAAATCTGTGTTCTGCTGATTTTTGGTATTTATCTTCACACCCTCATGACTCACATCCTGTCCCTGCCAGTGTGCAAACCTGCAGGGGGTGAAGATGTTGTGTTCCAACGCAGAGGGAGCATCCCTGAAAGGCTGCAACTTTGAAGATCCCTCAGGCCTTAAAGCTAATTTGGAAGGTAAGTTTCTGCCTGTTAATTATTCCCTGGAAACAGCCCTGTGCCTGTACATTCGCGTAGAAGAAGCTCACTGGCCTGCTTCTGCCAAATAATCATGAAATTCCCAGTTCTGCTGTGACCTCTCCCAGCTTCCCCAGCTCTTAGGAAGCATCTCCTGGAGCTGCTGCATGTCTGGGTTTCCCTCCCAGCCCTCGCTGTGGGTGTATTGCAGGTGCCAACCTGAAGGGTGTGGACATGGAGGGCAGTCAGATGACAGGGATTAACCTCCGAGTGGCCACGCTGAAAAATGCCAAACTAAAGAACTGCAACCTCAGAGGAGCCACGCTGGCAGGGACTGACTTGGAGGTGAGTTAGCATTCATTTCCTGTACATATTATATATATATGTGTATGTGTACAAAAAGATGGTAATTTAAGGGATTGCTGGCTTTTCTCCAGCTGCCAAGTTGAATTGGAGTTAAGGGAAATGGAGTTAAATTTTTGAACAGAGTTCTGTCTCTATTCAGTTAATATTAATTTTCCTTTCCCCCTTCAGAATTGTGATCTGTCAGGTTGTGACCTACAAGAAGCAAATTTGAGGGGATCTAATGTGAAAGGAGCCATCTTTGAGGAGATGCTGACACCCCTGCACATGTCCCAGAGTGTCAGATAGGGGCCAGAACATGCTGAAGAGGAAGAAATCCAACCATTCATTGTGACTTTCTTCATCTCCTCCCCTTCCTGAGTTAAAGTCCTGGTTATTAGCCACCTTATATTTGCAGTAGTGCCTAGGTAAACTTTTTGATCACTTTTGGGGAGGGAATTTTTGTTTTCAGAGGTACCAGCAGAGTTTGTACCTCTGTGAGCAGAGTGATGAAGTGGGCTGGTGCTGAAACCAGAGAGTGTGGCCGGTTTTGGGGGGGAAAGGGTTCAATGGTTTCATTGTTTAGCATTGCCTCACTTTGGAATGCATTTTAATTTATAAAGCACAATATATGCAATTCTATTTATTAAATCTGTAGCTGCAATATCAATAGAAGATGTTACTCCTGTACAGTAGCAACCAAGTTGAGGTTTACAGGTGTATTTCCAGTCTGTGTCCATGCCAGGGGCGGCTCGGTGTCCCCAGGGGTGCTCAGGTCTCTGCTGGGGTGGAAGCTGATGGGAACATCCCTGCTTAGAAATTAGATGTCTTTAATTAATCCTCTCCAAACCAATGTGGAGGTTCACTGTCAATCACAGCTGGTGAGAATAATCCTGCTTTCACATGTCCTGAGCACTCCAGGCTGGAGTTCCTCAGAGTTTTCACCCTTAGTGGTGAATTCAGTACAGAGAGGAAAGCACAGAGCTGTCACCAAAGCAGAGAGAGGGCAGAGGGGCCCCAGCTTGTGCTCCAGCCTCCCCTCATGCCCTCAGCAGGTGAATCTTTCCCTGTTTCCCCTCCATGTACTATGCAAAAACATTCCCTGAAAGCTCCCTGGGCATCATCCTTTTCCCAGCTGGATCTCCCTGTTCCGTTTGGGCTGCTTCAGGTGGCTGTAAAAGCATCTTGCCTGGGCCAGGTGCCCTCCTTGCCCTCCCACACCTGCTGGAAGCAGCTGGAGCTGCTTGTGGGGGGGAGTTGTGCAGGGCAGAGGCCTCAGCACCCCTGGATGTGGACAAGGAGCTGCTTCCCTTGAGGATCTATGGAGTTCTCAGCTCATACCACCCTTATTTTACACACAATCAAAAAGCACATGAAGAAACTATACCAAAAAAATAAAAAAAATAAATGAAAAAAAGGTGCATCAAGAACTTACCTCAGATGCTTAAACCACCCCAAAGTTAAAACTAACCTTGAATTTAAGGAAATCAAGCTGTTACTGTAGAAATACAAAGGAGGAATAAGAACCAGTGGATGCCAGCTGGAGTCCCACAGGAGCTGGAGTTCCACAGTTCTTCAGGGGGTTGTCTCTCCCTTGCAGTGCAATTTCTGTCGTCTTGTAGTCTCAGTTGTTGTTACAAAAACGCTGCTTTGCCACCTGTCTGGGAGAGGCTGTGTCTTGGGGGAATTGCAGGATTCTCCCTCCTTTTCAAGTTCATTTGACTCAGGCAAGTGATGTGAACTTGCGAGGCTCAAAATCCCAGAGCCACGAGGTTCTGAATTGGGATTATTTCCTGCAGATCCCTCTGGATCAGGCTCTAGGACAACACAATATCCTTGGAGAAATGGCCTGTAGGTTCCAGGGAAATACTGCAGTGTGACTTTGGAGTCCTTTCTCCCACCTCATGGCTTTCAGTGGGAATGTTGTGTCTGTTGCAGTAGAAGAAGATTCCTAGGGCTAGAGAAACAAATGAATTATTTTTCTTTATCATATTTTGTAGCTGGCAGAAGTAAAACTATTGTATGGGAAAATATATATATATATCTATTTTCATAATCACTGTGTATAAAATATCTTTGAACTTTCACTGAAGCACTATGGAATAATCACAGCATGTGGCACCATTATTTGCAGCTGGATTTTAGGTACCTCTTTTGCCAGGACAGAGCTGTGTGAAGAGCCCTGTGCAGAATTTGCAGGTTCCAGCTAATTTAAGTTGCATTAATAAAAAGTGTGAAAGAGAAAAGTGGCTTGGTTGTTTCCATTTGAATAAATACCTTAAATCTTACCTGGCTTGTGTGAGAAGAATTTTTTGGTTTAAAGCATAAAATACCTGCTGGAAAAACAATTGTGCTGTGGGGGTTCTGATCCATTAATTGGGAGAATTTGCATGGAATTGTTTTTGGTTTGTCATTTCTCTCCAAGACTCCTCACCCTTTTTGTGCCCACCTTTAATATTTGTTTAATAAAATAATGGGAGTCAGAATAATGAGAGAATCATGGAATATCCTGAGCTGGAAGGGACCCATAAAAGTCCAATTCCTGTGGATGCACCAGAAACCTGTGAGGAAAAAGTTGTTCAGGGCAGACTCATCAGAGCCAGGGTAAGTGGTAGATAACAAAGTGCAATTATTGGGCAAAGCTCTCTTTAAATGTCCAAACCAAATCTGCTTTTACCTCTAAATCTCATTTTTGCAAGGCTGAGCAGGAGAGGAAGGAGGCTCCAAACGGGAGAATTCCTGTGTGAATCCACACAGACAACAGGAACATTTCTCCCCCTGACCCCAACTGATTTCTTAGCTTGATCACCTGAGCTGAGCTCAGTGCTGGCTGCCCCTGCAGGAGTGGGAGGAGCACGGGGGCAGGAAGAATGACTACTAAGAGTCACCAAATCTTCCCTGAATTATTTACTTATTAAATCACTTTAATCCATTAAAGCTTCGAGAGGTCATGGGAGCCAGAGCAGAGGATGTTTGGAGAGCAGGGAACACGAGACATTATCAGGTGGCACAGGATAGCAAGGCAGAGGAGCTGCCAGGTGGGGAAAAATCCGATTTCTGCAGTCAAAATTACTGAACTCCTGCATGCAAATCTTTATAAACCTGCAGTGTTTAGTGTTCAGTCTCGAGACTGAAAAACGGGGAATCATGGAATGGGTTGGGTTGGAAGAGGCCTTAAGGATCATTTCCCTCAGTTCCATCCCCAGGGACCCTTACTACTGTCCTGGGCTGCTCCAGCCTGGCCTTGGGCACTTCCAGGGATCCAGGGGCAGCCACAGCTCCTCTGGGAATTCCATCCCAGCCCCTCCCAGTAAAGGAATTTGTCCTAATAAAACCCAAATTATATATTTCTTCCCAACCTAAACCTCCTTTCTTTTCAATTTAAACCCATTCCTCCTTGTCCCTGTCACTCCAGACCCTTCTAAAAAGGATTTTGGGATCCTATTCACACCAGAGACTCCATCATGCCAGCAAAGTACATTTACAGTCACAGATTCATCCAGTTTAATCCCACCTGGCATTTCACAGAGTAAAGAACACCAAGGCACCTGAATTTAAATATTAAGGAGGAGGATTTCAAACTGCTCTGGGCACTTGAGCAACCACAAGCTCCGTTTGAGCACCAAAGAGTTGTTTCCTTCATAAATGAAGATGGGCATGAGGTGTTGCCTGGATTGTGGAGTCTCCATCCCTGGAAGTGCCCAAGGCCAGGTTGGAAGGGGCTTGGAGCACCCTGGGGTAGGGGAAGGTGTCCCTGCACACTGCAGGGGTGGAAACAGATGAATTTAAAGTCTTTTCCAACCCAAAATATTCCAGGATTCTTAAAGAGCTCAATTTCCCACCCATTTCACACCCTCAACAAATTCAAACTCACCCAAGAACTTTCACTAAAGGATCCAGAACTCACTGACAGAAAAGCTCCTGTGATTCCCAGCAGGACCAGCTGGATCCCAGTGTGGGATTTACAACCTCTTAAAAGCAAGGCTGTTACTTTTATGGCTCTTAGAGAAAGGAGCTGAATTTAATTGCTGCACAGGGGTGTTCCAATTATGGGCTTTGCTTGTGCTGCATGACAGCCACTGTAACACCAAAATTGCAGCCTGGGAGGGAGAAGTGGGAAAAATCTGCTGGGAAAGAGGTGGCACTGGGGTGCTTGGATATAAAAAGGGAGGTGAGAGCACAATGACAGACATTTTCCAGAGCAGAAGAGCTCCTGGAGTTTACTCCTCAACCTCTCTCAGGCAGCAGGTAATGTGCTGGAATAACATCCCACACTCCCTTTTTATTTATCCAGTGCTTGCAGATGCTCCTCTTAAAAAGAAAAAATTAGATTAGGAGAGACTGCAAAGGGCAGTTTTTAAGGAGCAGGGACACCAGAGCAGGAACCAGCTGAACACATCTGCCAAACACCACCAGGGAATGCAACCTTTGAGGTCCACACATGCCGGGAACTCAGAAATCCTAATTTAGATCTTCAGCCAAATTTTTCAGATGTCCAATCTCTTTCAAGTGAGCTAATCCACACTTCTCGAGAGGCTGCAAATCCAGCTGGGGCTCCTTCCCAGGAGGTGCAGATCAGAACAGGAGCAGGCAGAGGGTGGGATTTTTGGGGTGTCTGTGCAGGGCCAGGAGCTGGAATTCCACAACTCTTGTGAGTCCCTTCCAGCACATTCCACCATTCCGTGACCGAAAAATGCCTCGTTTCCGTCCCTCTCCAAGGTCCAAATGGAGCTGTCGTGCCTTTGTGAGCAGACAGGTGCTTTTTTGTCTCTGCCAGGATGGAGAAGGCCAGGAGGATGGTGGCCAGTGTCCTGCTGTGCATGCTGGCCGTGGGGCTGTGCCTGGCGCAGCACTGGTCTTACGGCCTCCAGCCAGGGGGCAAGAGGAGCGCCCAGGTCCTGCTGGGACCATTCCAGGAGGTGGGTCCTGGGCTGGGAAACAACCCTGGCCTGCAAAAATGCAGCCAAAAAGGCGACAAAAGCTTCCCTCCACACCTGTCCCTGTGTCTGTCCCCCAGACGCCACCAGGTCTGGGGATAAACGCTTTGTTTGAAGTAGGGTTTGGGAAATAAGGGGTGAGGTGATATTTGTGATATCAGCCTGGCACAAATAACAGCACATTGTAGCTCTGTTGTATGGAGAAAAAAGAATATATATATATTTTCATAATCACTGTGTATAAAATCTCTTTGAACGTTCACTGAAGCACTGTGGAATAATTTGGGCAGCTAGCTCCAAGGGAAAGATGGAGGTCTGAGGTCCAGGTAAAATCTGATTCCATCCTCTCCCTAAATTCCAACATTCTGTTGGGTTATTTTATGACAACTCCTCCAGTTTCCTTAAAATTCTGGCAATTTGCTTGTGGTGGATGCTCAGCAATTAAATGACAAAGCACTTGTGGAAGGTTCTGTCCACCGGTGGTTTTCCCCTCCTTTCCAATCTATACTTCATGTCTGCCTCCTCCTCATTCCAGCATCCTGGAGTTCCTGAGGAAAGGTGAATTTCAGCTGTGTAGTGGAACAGTTTCACTTCCATCTGTAACTGGGGTAGAGCCATTTTTGGCAGAAAAATTTCCCTTCCTACAGCTAGTATCACCTCCTCGTGTCACTTTTCCAATCCAGATTGCAAATGAAATGGAAAAATTAGAGGAGGTGCAGCAGAGCGAGTGCCCAGGCTCGCAGCAGAATCCCAGGATCAGGGATCTCAAGGAAGCCATGGTGAGTAATGTGGTTTTTCTGTCATCACTATGGGAAAATTTAAAGAAAATACATGAGGGGAGGGAGAAAAGGGTGGTGGAGGAGGAAGAGGAAGTAAAGTTTAGCTCACATGAGGAAGGATGAAAAAAAAGTCTCTGTCCTTATTATGGAATCTCAGGTCAGTTTGGGTTGGAAGGGCCCTAAAATTCACCTTGTCCCATGGGCAGGGACACCTCCCACTGGACCAAAATTACCTGCACAGGTCCCTCATTGTCACCTGCTCCATTCCCAAATCCCTCCCTGGATACTCCCTGCTGCTGTCCCAGAGCTGTCCCAGAGCTGTCCCAGGCTTGTCCCAGGTTTCAGGCTGCAGGAGCAGCCAGATGGAAGCTGCTGCTCCCAAGGTCCCAGACTGGGAAATGCATTTCCATCAGCTGCTGCAGAGCAGCGACAGCACAAACCTCCCGTCTGCCTTCCCTGACAAACAGGGAGCCCTCTCAGGCAGAAATGGCTTTTTCATTAACCCAGCAACACCTTCATGGCCAGATGGCCACCACTTCCCAGGCAGTGTCCCTGGGCCATCCCAAAAGCTCAGCCTCTGCTTCTAATTTGAAGCCAAACCCCAAAGCTCCGAGTGCTTGAAAGCCTCTCCAGCCTCTCACCGAGGAGCCAGGCCTAGAAAAGGCTCATAAAATCAGGAACAGTCATGCAGAGCCCAAATTCCACTGGATTTTCATGCAGAAACTACCTAAATAAATATGGTTTGAGCTCATCTTTAATCCTATTTGTACTGAGCATGTACTGGAATCATGGCCCATGGCTGCCAGCAGCACTAATTTACTGTATTTAAGTATTTTTTTTGCTGCAAGAGATGAAGTTAGGCAGGAAAACACACCGGAATAATTACCAGGATATTTGAAATTAGTCCTTTCTGGCTCACTGAGGGAAACTTGGCCTGTCTTTGTGCAGCTAAAAGGACCAAACCCAACCAGACCCTGAGGTTTGCTCAGGAACTTGTTTCTTGCAGCTCCATAACACTGAAAACAAGGAAGCTTATTCCACACCCAGCTTTTCCAGCCTAACAAATTCCTGGAGCTGCTACAGGAATATTAAACAGGGAAAGAAAGGGGAGTGGATGGAAATGTTCCACCCCATGGAAAAACTCCAATTATCATAATTTCCTGGGGAAGGTGGGAGGGAGCACAAAAATCCCCCTCACTGAGGGGCTTCAGGGAATGAACCCCCAGATACTCACACAGTTCTTTTCCATCCAAAGCACCCCAGGCCTTCAACTCTGTGGTGTTTTAGCACCCAAAAACCCTATCCTCAAAGTAATTTCTGCTCTTTAAACCCAGAATTTGGTGTGTGGTTACAGGAGAGGCTGATGGAGGGAGAAGGCAGAAGAAAGAAGGTTTAAAAGCCAAATGGAGCCACAGAGCCAGAGTGAGGTTCCAAAACTGTGTAAACATAAATTCCTCCTCAAATGCTCGATATGTGAATAAATACCCTGAAATTGCATTAAATATGTTAAATAAATTAAATAAATTGCATTAAAAGAGTGGAAAATTGTGATGTAGATTATTGATTTATGTAAAAGAGAACATATCCCAGTCCAGAGTGGGAGCAGCAGAGCAGGGTCTGCTTTGAGTCCTGCAGGGAAAGTTTGGATGTGACAACTTTTGTTTCACGTGTCCAGACAAAACCGTGGCCTCTTCTCACTCCTCTCTGGGTAAAACAGCAAGGAAATTTGGATAAAAGGATAAATTTACTTTTGGAAATAACTCCCCTCTCCATCAGTGGTCCATGGAAGAAAGACTTCTACTACTCTTTTTTCTGGTTCAGTCATGAAAACTACATTTATTTAAAAAATGTATTTACAAACTTTACAACAGTCATTACATTTAAAAACCTCATGCAAATTTGTACACCTTGCTTTACAGATTTAGTGAATCATGTGGCATTTACCCAGAGAGCTGCAGTCCCTTCCCAAAGCTCCTGCTCTCCCCAGAGCCACCTTAAAACTGTATTTTTTACCGATTAAGTTGCAAAGGACTGGAAAAAAACCCCAAACACCATATTTGCAGTCTGCAAAAGTGAGTCTGCAATGAAACCACCAACCTAGGATATCCCAGAACACACAAAAACGCCTCCCACAACACCTAAATCCTCCTGAATTCACCACAAACAAGGCTCAGGGTTTTGAGTGATTAAATCTGTGTAATACCACAGTGAGAAAAATTGATCAAATATACATTTGATTAATTGAGGTGCTTCCACCTCTGCCTAAAAATACAAACCAGCACCACGTGGACCTGAAAAACAGGTTAAGGTGTGAACCTCCTTTGAGTAACTGCTGGAGTGCCCAAACTGTGCTAAAGGTGCTTGAATTAATGTTCAGAGAGAAGAATCAGGTGAACCTCGTGCTTTTGAACAGCCATAAAATCACATTATTTGGTTATTTTTCCTCCCTGCTGTAGTCTTTGGAAAAGCTCACCCTGGTCCACCAGAGGATTTGGTCTGCAACAGTAAAAATAAGGTCAAGTTTTTTAATTAAAAATAAAAGTAATCAAAAGAAGGTTACAGAAGCAGGTCAGGAATGTTTTCGCTATATTAAAAAAAATAATTACAGATTTAAAGTTATTATTTCCATTTACAATGATAAAAATAAATAAGGAGAGGGAAATCTGGGGAGCTGTCACTGCAAGTCCAACTCAGTGTGAACCTAGAGCCAACACTGGGCTGGGAGGGGGGATTTTCTGGGATGCAGTTCCCAAAAAACCTCTGCACATCCATGCTGGAGTTGTGTGCCACTGCAGATCACAGAGCTGCTCTCCCTGGAATATGTGTCCTTTCCTAATCCAATAATCCACTGAAAGGCAAAGCTGCTGCTCCCCTCTTCCCCTGATGTGGATTAGAGCCTGTCACATTTTTAAAGGAATTTATCACAGCATGACAAATTTTAATTAAAAGCTCCAGAAAACAAGTGTTGAGCACATTTCTCCAAAGGAGAAAAACTGAAATCCTCAAAGACTTAAAATTTCACAGCAGCTTTGAACAGCTTGTCTCTGAAATATGATTAGGTTTTGTCTCCTCTGCAGAGTGGATGTTTTAACTTTGAGAGTTTATTCAAAATCATGAATTGGGTAGATATTGTTGTAATTTGTGGTGTGCAGAGATTATTGTTATGGACTCCTATTCCCATTTTTAACCCTCCAGTTTAAAGCACATTAGAGGCATTTCCTAAAGCACCTAATTAACCTGAAGAGATGATCCTCGTTTAAAAAAAACAAGGAAGAGACACCTCAAATTGTCTCCTGAAAATTAAATCTCACAACTCAAGTCAGGCAGGTTCCCAAGCAAAGAGCAAACACTTTAAAAAATCAGGGTTCTGGTGGGATTTCTCCTAAGAGTGGGCACTTAATTCCACTTATATAAAATCAGTTGAATGCCCAGCTCTTCCTCACACAGTTAAATGCCCAATTATTGCCTTTAAAAATCTGACATGATCATCCTGGATGATTTTTTTCCCTTAAAATTGACCCAAAGCCCTGAATCCTTTGGGCACAGAACAGAAATTCCACCTTGCACCTCTGAGCCAGTGATGCCAGCTTTTATCAGGCAGGTATGAGAACCGGACACCAGTTTGGGGATACTGCTAAAGGGAGGAGGAGTGGACAAGTTTACAAACTCTAGACTATAAATATAAATAAAGGTGAGAAGGGGAAAAAAAAAAAACAAACCAAATTTAGAGCCCTCTCCGGCAAATTTGCCAGTGAAAATGCCCAAAATGTCCTGGGAAGGGAAAACTTGTTCTGAACTCTTTAGCGTCAGCTGCTGCCTCTGATTCCAGGTCAGAGGAGAAACCTGAACTTGTGATCAACAAACCCAGGACAGCTTTAAGGTAAGAGGAGCGATTTCCAGGCAGAGCAGAGCTGAAGGTGACAACTGTTCTCACCCATGGAAGGAGAATCAACCACAGAGGTGCCAAGAATTCTGTTTGGAATCTGCAAAAAACGCAGCCAGAGCCAAACCTGCCGAGTAAAAGAGTAAAAAGCTGGTTAAAGATCAGCTGAAAAATTCTTCCCAGGGTCAAAGTTCCTCCTGTCAGTGTTTTGTGCATGGAGTGGTCCCTTTCTCCAGGAAAAAACCTGGATGCACAAGGTACCTCCAAGTGTTAAGGTTGTTAAAGCCGAAGCAAAAGGCTGGGAAAGAGGACTCCAAAGTGACTCAGATCCGAAACACCCAAACCTGACAGCTCAGTCTGTTTGCCCACACCAGGGAAACCATTCCTGGGACTCCTCCTGTGCTCCTGCTGATTCACGCAGGGAGTTAAACCCAACCTCCCCTGAAAGCACCGAGCACCGGCGGCAGATTCAGAGTGGGGAAAAGCACTGAATTAACAATATTCTGAATTAACAATCGGTGCTGTTGAGATGTGCTTCAGACAGCTCAGACTACATCCTGTTGTTCTGCCCGAAGTTCTCAGCCCAGACAAGAAGTTGTAGTTGGATGTCAGAGGATGCCGGGCTCAGGAGGCCGCGGTGACAGCACTAGGGAGGGTGGGCAGAAAACGCCAAGACAAGAAAACCCAGTGGCTTTCAAGTCAAGCAGTGTCTGTGCCCAAAAACACAACAAGGAGCTGACATGTCCTGCAAAGCCCCAGAGAGGGGGAAAACCTGGCCAGGGTGTCCAGGAAGACTCCCAAGATTTCCCCTGAGAAGCAGCAGGCCGGAGATAGCTGGAAGTGCAGGCAGCAGTGAGGCTGGGGATGGATGGGATGTGACTGCAGTGCCACCTCCAGAGGAGCTCCAAGCCGGAGGTTTGGGAAGCTGGGATGACTCTGGGATGAGGACAATCTGCTTACAGAGCTGGGCAGCAGCACAGCAGCTCCTGCAGTCACACTGACATCAAAAGAATTGGGAAGAACAAAAGGAAATGATAACTTCAGTCTGAACAAAACCCTCCTGGGGGTGGTTTTTGTCGGGCTGGGTTTTGTTGGGTTTGGTTTTCCTTTGCTGAGGGAACTTTTCATTTGGTTTAACAAACTTTGGTTTTTCAGTAAGGTCAGAAACCCATTTCAGTCAGGGGAGCACAATAATGGCCTGGGAACCCCCCGCCCAACAGTAATTGCCGTTCCTGCTGTGAGCAACACCCTCAGCAGGGTTTTAGTGGCTCTTCCCAACTCCTACAAGATAATCAGAAACAAAATGACAGAATTAATAAACTTATTTCCTCCAAGACAAAACAAAATCTTCATCAAGTTCGATGATAAATAACAAACAGGCCACAAGCTGTTTATGGGTCTTGTACCAGTCCTGGTATCAGTGCAGGTGCCACCCGTCCAGCCCTGGCAAAAGTGCAACTTCTGTCACCTCAAACATTCCCAGGAGCGATTTTTTTCCACGTTAAAAAGCACAAAATGAGATCAAACCAAGCACAAGCTGAGCAGAGACCCTGACCTAGTCAGGAAACTCCCAGGAAACCACCAGTGAGATCTCCCCCAGGATTCCCAGTTACACTGGGAAGGAGCTGCTGGGATTGCAGAAACTCATGACAAACAAGACCAGGAGAGAGAATTCCAGCAGGAAGACATCTGGATTAGTGTGTCAGCACTGCACAGGCAAACAGAGGGGAGGGAATCCAGTCCCAACAACATGTCTTTGGTGGCATTTCCCAGGAAAACTCCAGGTGGAATGGCAGGGGAGATCAGCAGGCTGGCTGGAAATGAAGCAACCGCTGCATGCTGGGCGTTGCTGTGACCCCAAATCCTCACTGCAGCCCCTGCTCCGAGGACACCACGCTGGATTTCCTGGTTTTTGGGGGTGGAGGGGGAGGTTTGGCCTCGCGTCTGCTGGGCAGTGGCGGAGCAACCTGAGGAGGTGGAAACACAAAGAAATAAAGCACTACTGGCAAGTGGAAACAGTTCTGCTTCCCCAAATGAGAAACCCAAAAGGTCCAAATGGTTCTTCTGGGAGCAAACCCTGGAGCTTGGCCTCAGCTCCACGTGGCAGGGCCAAGCAAGGACAGATCCCCAGCAGGAAACAGAAGCTGAAATGTTTTAGCTGCTCAAGTATGCCTAGGACAGATTTTAATTGCTCCCAACCTGCAGCCCAACTTCAGCTTTTATCCCTCCTTTTGGTGATCAGTGAAACGGCAGCAAAACCATTTCCTTCCAGGGTTCAAAATTCAGTTTTTTTCCTGCTGCTGGCTGGACGGGCTGCACCAAAAGGATGCAAAATCAGAATGGCAAAACACCCTCAAATGGGAGCAAGGGCAGCTCTGATTAAACAAGCCACATCCGACCTGTCTGCCAAGGGCTTGGAGGGTGTTTCTTGTTCTTGCAGAAAGCTGCACTAAAGGGGGGCTTTTTCAATTTGTCTCTGCCTGTTTGAAGGGGCATCCTATAAATAAATGAGATGGGAAAGGCCAGGAGAGTGAGGAACTTGTGTGGTTCATCACTCCTCAGCCAAAACTCAAGTTTCAGGGCCCCCTTCTCAGGCAAAACTCATCATTTCAGCACAGTTTTAACCAAAGGAAGACGGACCCAACTTTACAAGAGCAAAGTAACAAAACCCTGCAGAAAAATCCTTCCCAATCTCCCTCTACAGCCCTGTGAATCCTTTCCCTCTGGCTGCCAGCCAAGGGGGATGCTGCAGGCCAGGACATGGCAGTAATAAGCTTCTTTACAAGGCTCAAGGGAATGCAGCTCTTTGATTCATCCTCTTGATCCAGTGACTCCCAGAGCATCCCTGGAGCTGGGATGTCCCTGCTGGGCACAGCACCACAGCAGCCACAGGCACTTCCAGCCAAATGAAGGGCAAAGAAGAAAAACTTCCTCCCCCTCCCGTGTTTCAAGGCTTTATTCCAGTGTCACAACACAGAATTAAGTGTTGAGCTGTTTTCTTGTCTGCCCCTGCTGCTGAAATTGTTAAATATGATCACTTCTTTATGGCCAAATCCCAGTTTATCTCAGACACTCCCAAATCCTCTCTGTAAACTGGACTCGGGGAGACATCCCTCCCTTTCAATGGCAAAAGGTAATTCCTGATGGGTTTTGGGAAGGCACCATCCCTCTCACAGCCACAGAAGGATCCTTTCTTTGCTCCCCTCAGTATGGAATTAGTCTGGCATCACCAGCACCTTTGTGTCAGGTGAAACGATTCTGACTCAATGTTTGCATGTCAGGGGTTCCAGACAGCCTGGAGACACCAAGGTGTAACAGAAACATCAGTGATGCAGCACTGAAAAAGGGGAAATTTGGTGTTCCTACAGGCAAATCACTCTGGAATTGAGGCAAAGGACAGGATTTAAATACAGGCTTTTGAAAATCGCTAATGGCTTGAAAAATCAGATTCTGCCCAGCTGAGCTTAGAAGGAGACATTGGAGACCTCTGAAAATTGTGATTTTCCCCCCCACTTCTTTTTCAGCCCAAATCATTGCACTATTTTAGGCTGATTGTGTTTGTGAAACTTTTGCTGTTGGTGTGTTTTCTGTATCTCTTCCCACGCCCACCCCCCACCTTTTTCCTGACCAAGGACAACACAATTCCCACTTGGAAAAATCAAATAATAAAGGCACTGCACTGCCTTCTCCCGAAGCAAAAAAAAAGCCCCTTTTTTGCCTTCTTTTGTGGTTTCAGGGAGCAAAGCAGTGAATTGATAGACAGGTTTCAAGCAGCACCACCCTAAGAGCAGCTTGGAAAATCCACTGGTGCCTCCTGCTCCAAAGCTGCTCTCCAAAAACCCGTCTGTTGAAGTCTGAGACAGAAATGTCTGCCCTTGTTTCTGGTGCTTAGCTCTGAGATTCAGAAAAACACTGAATTTCATATAACATGAAATTTATAAGCATGTTTTCATGGTGATACATGAAAACAGCTGTTGAAGTTAGAAAAAGCTAAAAATGTGAGTGTATAGATTAGAGAGTTTCTTAAGTCACTGGGTGAAAAAGTTAAAGTTTAGAGTTTAGAACAACTTAGAAATCAGAAGGCAAGATGGAGGATTTAGACTGTTTTTCTTTTCCTTCTTCTAGAGGTTTTGGGGTAATAGTAGGTGATTGGATAGAAAATGCCACGATGCAGCACACAGGTCATTGGGTCATTAAGAAAAATAATCTACGTGTCTATAGTTAATTGGATAAGAATAAAGAAAAAAGAACTGTGTAGTTCAGGGCCATTTTGCATCTTCAAAGGCCAAAGTGAGCCACAAGGCCATTCTGTATCATCAGAAAGAAATGTGCCAGGTTGCAGTGAATTGAACTTGTGCAGAAAGTCTGGAGAGACCTGCCAAGTTTTGTGATAACATCCTAATAAACACGAGAAACAAGATCCTGACAGGCTTTGGAGTTTTTGTCCTGACCCAGAGAACTGTGATAAGCAGGACTCCCCATAAGGGAGTAACCCACCCCAAGGAGCTCAGCTCAGAGAAGCTGAGAAATCCAGGAGTGAAAAATACAGAAGAAGTGCAGCAGAATCGAGAAAGAAAAATGAAACAAAAAAGAATTTTTAAAAAGTTACACCGTCAGCTCCCATTTCCTCACCTCCACCGAGTTCCTGGGGGTGCTGCTCTCGTAGGGTTTGCTTTTGGGTGGAGGGGGGGGTGGCGTGGCCAACCCATCAGCCTGCAAGGAGGGGAAGCCTGGAAACAACAGTGAGAGAAGAAACAACAAAAAATAAGGGAAAAAATAAGAATAAATAAGGAAAAAAAACCCAACAAAACAAATAAAGGTGGGAAAGGGACAGGAAATGGGACTGCACACAGATCTTAAGGGAGGTTCATGAAATATCCTGTTCTTTCCAGCTGGGGGCAGTTCCCTGCCCAGATGTGCTGGGTCCCAGCTGAACCCCCCAAGTTCCCAGTGCCCTGAGGAGCTTCCCCTTCCCCAAATGGCTCTGAGCTGCCCCCGAGAGCAGAAACTGCATCCATCAGCACACCTGGTGTGTTCTGGGGCTCCCCTCAGACTTCAGTCTGATTTTAACCCCAGCTATGGAGGAGATAAAACCCAAACTGCAGAAGGATTCCAGCAGTCAATCCCCTTGCTAAGAAGAAGAGAGAGGTTTCACTTTCCTTTTGCAGATCTTTCTTCATAGAGCTCCTAAATTTGTTTCTGGTTGTCTTCCCAGCTCATCCCCTGCCCTGGTATTTTTTTGGTTTTATCCTCTCACAACAATTTTTATGCTGGTTTAGATCATTCTCTGCACTGGATTCTGACTTAATACCCACAGAAAGACAGCCAGGTCCTACCCAGGAACTTCTGTTCCTTTCAGAAAAGAGCAGCAGGCTGAGAAATGCAGCAGTCAGGGAGTTCTAGGGGTGGAGCTGCCCAGGGAATCTTGTTTTTACCTTAAAGCACACTTAAACATTGCTGCAGAATTTACAGAACTTCCTGAAGGAAAAAAGACCCTTTTCCCCCCCGCCTTCTTTTCCAAGATCAGATTATTGCGCTGTTTTACATTCAGCCTGTTTTTGTAACCTCTGAAATGATTCATTTTGTTAATTCTTGAAGATAAATTCCATCTCCTTCAGGTGGAACATTTACAGCTGAGTGTCCCAGTAAGCTCTCCTAGAACTCTCTGCCATGTGATGGGAGTTGTTGCTCATTAGTTAACAGAACCCCCAGGACTTGCATTGATAATTTAGGCACAGAATTGATCCCTAACACCACAGGATGGCTGCAGCTCCCTCCTGGGGACCTGCTGGGGATGCTCCTCCAGACCTGACTCGACTTTTCAGCCATCCACACTGCCTGCACGTGCTGTTCTCCTCAGGGTTCATCAAACCTTCCCAAAATTCAGAGAATCACAGCATGGGTGGGGTTGGAAGGACCTTAAATCCCAGCCAGTGCCATCCCTGCCATGGCAGGGACGCCGCCCACTGTCCCAGGGTTATCCAGCCTGGCCTTGGGCACTTCCAGGGATCCAGGGGCAGCCACAGCTGCTCTGGGAATTCCATCCCAACCCCTCCCCAGCCTCACAGGGGGGAATTTCTCCCCGAAATCCCATCTAACCCTGCCCTCTGGTAGTTTAGAAGTGTTCCCCTATGTCACATCACCCTGTGCAAAGTCCCTCCCCATCCTTCTTGTCCAGGCCAATACAGGAGAAAACAAGAAAGGAACTGAAAAACCCAGAAACCATTCCCTGGAACTCCTCTGATGCATGGCTTCAACAAGTGATGTGCAAGGCACTCCCATCACACGGCAGAGATCTGATCTTTGATACCACAGGAAAATTCTGTCATCTGACAAAAATGACAGTTCCTGCTTTCCTGGGAAACAGAGGCAGGGGGCACCTGGAACGTGCTGGGGCTCCAGAGGCAGCAGCTGGGGCTCAGCTCCCACTGTTTGGTGCCCCAAACCCTGTCTGTAAAACGGAATAACAACACTGACCCCCAGAAACATTTTTAAATGCATTCCCGTGGGATAAACCTTGATTTTCAAGATTTCCAACAGCCCCGAGGCACCGTGACCTAGCTTAGAGCAGCTCCTCTCTCCCTCCCTCCCTCCTCAGCACAGAGTTCCCACAATATTCCAGCAGCAGGACTTACTGTGGGTCCGGGGGGTTTTGGGGGTGATGGGGGGAGGGCTGCAGGTGGCTGGCTGCAGTGAGGAGCCCTGCAGCAGGCTCAGCCTGGTGTCCCCCAGCTGCAGGCTCTTGGGTCTCTGCACCTTCCCCGCCGGGCCCTGCTGGGAACAGACACACAAACCTGCAGGTGAGCACAGCAGGGAACTCAGAGCTGGCAGCGACACAAACACCCAGCCCGGGACAGGTGAGCACAGCCAGGTAACTCAGCTGGCAGTGACACTAACACCCAGCCTGGGACAGGTGAGCAAGAGTGACCCCTGCCCTGGCTCTGTGTTCCCAGGACACAGTCCAGCTTCCCCTGGCACTTCCTGAGCAGCAGCAAACTGCTTTTAATGGCAGTTAAATTAAGTCAATTTATTGATTGATTGATATAAGATTAAGGAGGGAAGATGCCACACTGAAAATCTGCTGCGGTTCTGGGAATAAAATTTGGAGGCGGGTGAGGGTGAGGTCTTTCCAAAAAATAAAGAAAAAATTAAATTCTGGCTGCAGGTCAGGGCTGCTGGTGCTGACTGCATCCTGCAGCTCCTGAGGGCTGTGAAATGAGTCTATTTGAGGCTTTACAGAGCAAATCCTTCTCATCTGGGAATTTGTATCCGGCTCCTTCCAGTTTAACACCCTTTGTGCTCCTCACTCAAACCACGAGGTCACCTCAGTGCGGCCCCAAAAGTTCAGTGCATGAATACTGGGGTCCTTTTAAATATCAATTCATTGCTTCCCAGGGCAGGCTGTCACTTGAGCACATAATTAAACTCTTTTCCAGGGATCAGCAGTTCAGGATTTAAGGGACCACACACGGGTGGATGTAAAACACACAAAGCCCAGGCAGTCTTTGCTTCCCTCTGGCTTTCCAGAAAATTCCTCTGTCCAACTCCTGTGCTCACTCTAGAGCCATGGAACAGAACAGCCATAAAAGCAGCTTTTCCTGGGCTTTGTAATGTCCTGAAGCAGGACTGGAGCCCTGGAGTGCTCCTTCCCTTGAGAAATACTGGGGATTTCATCCAACAGCAATTCCAGAGGCAGAGGGCCAGGCCTCCTGCAGCACCAGCACCCACAACTGCAATTTTCCTGGGCTGGAAACTCTGCCAGTACCACTGACAGCACCCTGGAACCACACACCCCCTTCCTAGAAACACTCTACAGCCTCCAAGTGCTGGCAGCATTCCTCAGACCTGATAAGAACTCCTGAAAATGGATAAGCATCACCTGCCCCTGCCAGATCCAGCTGGGAATTTGGGAGAGGAAAGGCCAATACAGGAACTGGTGTTTCCTCCTTATTGTGAAAAATGAGCCTGTGTTAAATTAGATTAGCAACCAAGTTAAGTGAGATTAGGAGCACTGAAATACCCAGGTGCCCAATTCCCTCAGCCTGAGGGTGTAGCACAGGTTTTGCTGAACAATATTTCAAACACTAACACAGTTTTTATGTCCCTCAGGACAATATTTCAGGGTGTAAGACAGTTTTTACATCCATCAGGACAATATCCCAGGGTCTAACACAGTTTTTATGCCCATCAGGACAATTTCCCAAGGTGGCCTCTACCTGGGACTGGAACAGAGCACAGCCTGGCAGATCCAGGCTGACCCAGATGCTGGTCAGATCAGATGATCTGAGCCACCAGACCATCTCTTCCCAACTCCCAGGTCCATCTAAGGGGCCTGCACCTCCCAGGACATTTGATCTGTGCAGTGGTGCTGCCTGACAGCCACCCAACATCTGGCTGGGCAGCTGGATCCCTGCCTGCCCGAGGTTTTCCCTCCAACAGCACTGGGGTTTGCTGAGAGCACCCCAGGGCTCTGCTCAGCCCCTCCCTGGGCCACCAGTGCCTCCATCTGTACCTCCAGCCAACCTGCAGTTGGGCCTGTGACACCAATTTTCCAAATACAAAAAAAAAAAGGGAATTACTCAGATGACAGAGGCTCTTTGGTATTTGAACCCCTCCCAGTGTTTAATGAAGCTCCCCCTGCCCAGCATGGCTGAGAGCAATGGAAACACTCAGCTCCTGCTGTGAGTTTTATTACTGCTGTCATTATCGTGATGGTTTTCTTACAATTTTGGAAGTCAGTTCTGTTTCTGGCTCCTTCTCCACAATAACCTGAGACTTGCTAATGCTCCACTCCTTCCTCTTGAGTTTGCTAATCCTGTTGTCACCATCGTCTTTCACGGGCAGCTCCTCAGCTCTGGAAGATGTGGATATTCTCCTCTCCAAGAGAGGCTCCAGGGTAGATCTGTGGCCCAAAAGAGAGAGGAAAAACATGAAACACAAGTCCATCAGGCATGGAAAGGACTGTTTGTTAAAAAGCTGTGATCTCTCAGCTTGTGTAAGGGATTGTTGTTAAAAGGTTGAGGCAGGACCATGGATTTTTCAGCGGGATTTGTGCTGTTAGCCCTGGAATTCTGAGTATTATGTGGTTTTTGTCCAAGGTGAAGTGTGATCTGCTTGCAGAGACACCCAGAGCTGCAGTTCATGCTCAGCCATGAGTCTCACTGACCTTGAACAAATCACCTGAACTCTGGTTATCCCAGCTGGGAAGTCAATGTACTGCCAAGTGACAGCAGACAATGTCCAGGTGTGGCAGCTCCTTTCCATGCAGACAGGGTGAACCAAGTATTGGGTGCCTTATTCACCTCCTGGCTGACCAAAATAAACCACCCTGGGGTGCCTCACTCCTGGGAAACAGAGGCAGGGGGCACCTGGAACGTGCTGGGACTCCAGGGGCAGCAGCTGGGGCTCAGCTCCCATTGTTTGTGCCCCAAACCCCGTCTGTAAAACGGAATAACAACACCGACTCCCAGTAACATTTTTAAATGCATTCCTGTGGAATAAACCTTGATTTTCAGAGTATCTGGTCCCGCCTAAGGCACACCCCCCCGCCTCAACCACTGACCCGTCCGAGCCCGGCCTGGAGGAAGCACTGTCGGATGAGGTGGACGAGGTGGAGGCCACAGATGAGGCCACGGAGGTGACCGAGAGCCTCCTGAGGGTGGAGGACATGATGTAGGGCAGCACCAGCGAGCCCGACCTGCTCGGCTTCCTCTCGGTCAGCGCTGGGGCCTGCAGGGAAACGAAAGGGGGAACACCCACGGCTATGAAAATTCTGAATTTTAGAAGCCTGTCGTATGCTTAAACAAGTAGAGGGGACATAGAACACCCAGCAGAAAGAGTTTGTGACAAACCACACAGGAACTCAGCTGCCAGGTGTGAGAGATATTGCCAAAACTCAGCAGAGCAGGACCTGGGTATTGTGAAAACCTGACAAAGCAGAAATCTGTGGCTCCAGAAACCAGCCAGGACCAGACTTGTGGTTTTACTCTGGACAAGCTGACCTACTAGAAAGCCAAAGCCCCACTAAGCCTGCCCAGAGACCAATCAGCAAACACTGAGGAAGATGTTCAGCCTTCATCCCAAAAGACCACCAAACCAGGAGGCATGGCAGCTAATTGTAATTGTATGAATTGTATGAGGCAAGAAAAGGCAGAGAATAGTGGGCAGGGAGGTGTGAGCCTGTGGGATCACTGTGCATTTACACCTGGAACCTGCCTTGAGCAGGTCCTCATGGTTTGGGGTCCCCCTGTGCATCCCTGGTGCTCACAGCTGATGGAATAAAACAGATCTCTCTACAATTTTGGTTGCCAAGTCCCGATTCCCGAAATGGAATGGTGGCTGGGAAGGCCAAAGGCTGGGATCAGGAAGGGGGTGGCCAGCAGAAGCAGGGCAGGGATTGTCCCCTGTGCTCAGCACTGGGGAGGCCACAGCTCGAGGGCTGGGCCCAGTTCTAGGCCCCCCAGTTTAGGAAGGGCATGGAGGGGCTGGTGTGAATCCAGGGAAGGGAACTGGGAAGAGGCCCCATGAGGGGCTGAGGGAGCTGGAAAGGGGCTCAGCCTGGAGAAAAGGAGGCTCAGGGGGAATTTCTGGCTCTGCACAACTCCCTGCCAGGAGGGGACAGCCGGGGGGATTTGGGATCTTATCCCAGGGAACAGGGACAGGAGGAGAGGGAACGGCCTCAGGCTGGGCGGGGGAGCTCAGGGTGGACAGCAGCAGGAATTTCCCCATGCAAAGGGAACTTGGAACTGCCCAGGGAGGTTTGGATCCCCATCCCTGGAGGTGTCCAAGGAACTCCTGCAGGTGACAAGGTGGGGACCAGGCACAGCTGGGACTCAATGGTCTCAAAGCTCTTTCCTAACCCTGATGATTCTGGGGCTCCATGACACCCCCCTCACACCCACCCATGGGTGGAAAAGGGGAAGTTGGGTTCCTCTGAGGCAAAACATGGAAAAACCAGGTTCCCTCACCAGACTTATGACCCCGTACTGCGTCTCCACCTTCCTCCTGAGCTCCCTGAAGCAGGCTGTGAGCCTCTCGTGCAGGGGCCTCAGCTGCTCCGTCAGCTTTTCCCCATGGATCCGGATCCCCTCTGCCAGGAGAGGCATCTGAGGAAGGGTGGGAGGAAGGAGCACGATGAGCTGCAGGAGTACAAACCAGCCCTCCCGCTCCCCAGAGTTCCAGTGGAACAGCTCAGATATAACTAAAAATTTGAAAATTAAAAATTTGAAAAGTAAAAATTAAATCAGATAAAAATTAAAGGCTTTAAATCAAGGTGGTTTGGGCTTGCAGAGGGGAAAATAAACAGTGACACAGCAAGGGAGCTCAGCTGCTGACTCAGAGCTGGTGACAGAGAGGGGACTTCAGTGCTGGAGCTCAAGGTGTTGAACAAACATCAACATTTTCCCCAGGCCAGGCTAGATGGGATTTGGAGCAGTGGGAGCTGTCCCTGCCCATGGCAGGGGTGTTACTGGGTGGGATTTAAGGTCCCTTCCTTCCCACCCAAATCATTCCAGGATTCTGTGATTCCCTCTTCCCCACTTCCCCAGCTCTTTCCCAATTCCATACCTGTATAGCAATCTGCTGCTTGAGCAGCTCGATCTTGTCTTGATCTTCAGGATGTTCTTGGAGATATTTCTCTGTGAAGAACGCCTGGAAGCACAGAGAGAAGGTGACACAGGTGACACAGACACTGCTCCTCAGGCAGCTCTGAGGGGAAGATCCTTTAAAAGCAATTCACTGCCATTATTCTTCATATTAAACCCAAGTTTTGCTGCACTAAGCTGAGGCACAAAGAACTGGTTGGGAAAAGGGAACAAAACCCACTTCTAAAAATACATTTTTTTCCAGTGAAACACATGGAAAAGCAGTCACTGCATCAAAAAGGTTTTGCCCAGTCCTGATCCCCTTCTCACAAACCAGCACAGATTTGAATAACTGAGGTTCCCTCACTTCTACTCCTCACTTAAATGCAAGAGGCAGGCCCAAAACCTCAAGCTGTGACTTGAAAAAGCCTCTTTATTTTCCAGCAGTCAGTGCCCCACAGCACACAAGGACACCCAAACCACCTCAGCTGCTCCAAGGAGAGCAGGGCAGCTCCTGCTACAATTTCCCTGATTTCAGCCCTTAAATCCCTCATTTTCACCTGGGGCTGGTTACAAAGAAATAGAAATAAAGACCAGACTGGGATTTGGGCTCCCAGCTTCCTTCAACAAAGCACCTTTAGTGTCCACTTCTCCTGGGTTTACTTTTAATCAGCAGAATCTGGTCTTGGTTTGAAGTTGAACAAACACAAATCCACTTTCCTGGACTGAAAACTTAAAATTGTGCCGATTCCCATGATGTATCCCATTGAAATGGATCCCAATTCCTGGTCAGAATAATTTTTTTTTTTTTTCCTAGATAAACCCCCTAATAAGTTTTTCATTTGCTTCTCTGAGCTATTTTAGCCTCTGAATATATTTTTTTTACTTCTGTAAAACCAGACTGTGGTACAAGTTTATAGGGCTGGGGGTTTGATCCTGAACAGGATGGAGGTGAGCCTGGGAAAGGGCTGTTGGGTTGGTCCCAGAGGATTTTCCTTGAAAGTGCTTAATTACTGCAAGAGGAAAGATGTTAAAAACCCCAGCTTTGGTTTTTGGCTACAATGAAAGAATTAAAATCCAGATTTTAGCCTCCCACAAAAGCTAAATGTTCTGCACTGAGCTGCAGCTGAAATAGGAAAATATGAACCAGAAATGAGTATTTCCAGATGTGGCTGCAGAGACTTTGTGTTTTCTAGTTTTAACTGCTTTCCCACTTTCGTAATTCTAAACTTGATGTCAACCTTAATTCAGAAAATGGGAGGATTCAGGGCCACATTCAGCCCTGGCAAAGCATCCAAATTGCTCTGGAATCAACAGAGTTAGGCCCCAGAACAATCAGCCTCTCTCCCAATTAACTCATGCACCTCTTTTCATGGGGCTGGGGCACAGCTGAGGAGGGTTAAATGTGTTTTACCACATTTCCCCCAGCTCGTGGAAACAAGCAGCGCGTTCTGTGCTGGGAATTCCATCATTAGGTGGAGGGAATCAACAGCTCAAGTTAAACATCACAACAAAAGAACAACCTACGCTGCTCAAGTGAAGTCAGCTGAGTAAACCTGTACAGGAAATGCTGCTTTTTTTCCTGAATTGTTTGCTCTGTCACAAGGCTCCAAGGACAGAGAGGCTGCTGGTGAGAGGAAGCCTCTTTTGCCTTGTCATTCCCTGTTAATACAGGGGAGAAACACCAGGTTCTGCCTGTTCTCTGTTACCGGAGCTGCCCGAGCACCTCTGTGCCCCACAGGGCAGGAACAGGTTCCTCTCCCACTGCAGAGGAGCTGTATCCTGCCCTGGCCCCGAGCCTGAGCCCTTCCAGCTCGCTGCAAACCTGCCCTCTGCTCTTTTCTGCTCCTGTCCAAGCTGTGCACGCCCAGTCCCAGCAAGGGCTGTGTCTGGGACAGCTGGAAGTGGAACTGATCCTGTTGGGTCCTGCCCAAGACTTCCTCAGCACAGAGGAACAGAAGAAGTCACACAGTCTTGTGTCCTCCTTTAAGGACCAGGCTGATCCGAGCCCCATCCAGACTGGCCTTGGACACTTCCAGGGATCCACAGCTGCTCTGGGAATTCCGTCCCAGCCCAGAATTCCTTCCCAATATCCCATCTGACAGTTTAAAGCCATTCCCTGTGTCCCATCCCGCCATCATCCCTTGTCCCCAGTCCCTGTCCAGCTCTCCTGGAACCCCTTCAGGCCCTGCAAGGGGCTCTGAGCTCTCCCTGGGGCTCTCCCTGCTCAAGGTGAGCTCTCCAGCCCTGCAGAGGATGTGCCCAGACCTTTTCATAGTTGGTGTAGCCGCCCATGACGGCAGGGTCCACGATGCCGTTGAGCAGCATGGACAGGGGGTGCACGGGCAGGCTCCGGTCCCACGTGTGCTGCTGGACAATGTTAGTGATCTTCTCGTTGGTGAACTCCATGGTTTCGATGGCATTCTCGAGGGGGCTGATCTCCTCCTGAGGGAGGGAAGAAACAGAATGAATCTTCTGTAGAGTCACAGAATAAGCCTTTCAAACCTTCATTCCGTTTTAAGGAGAAATTGTTCCCTGGGAGGGTGGGGAGGGGCTGGGATGGAATTCCCAGAGCAGCTGTGGCTGCCCTTGGATCCCTGGAAGTGCCCAAGGCCAGGCTGGAGCAGCCTGGGACAGTGGGAGCTGTCCCTGCCATGGCAGGGGTGGCACTGGATGATTTTAAGCTCCTCCCAACCCAAACCAGTCTGGGATTCTATAGTTCTGTGATTTATTCCTCTCCACTGAGTAAGAAACTAAATAATTTGCTTTTATCTGTGCCACATCCAACAGTGCAAGGACTGGCATTCCCAAGTGTTCCAAGGCTTTATTCAATGGGGATTGGAGAGGAGGAGATCCAGCCCCAGTGGAGAACTCACCGTCGTGACCTGTTTGACCTCAAACCACTTGAGGATGCCCGGAAAGGAATAAGCTGTCGTGTAGGTTGTCCTTTCTATCCACATGTTCTGCTCAGAGAAGGAAAATAAAAGGATATCTGAGATGTAAGGGAAATATTGGTCTTGCAACTCAACTCTCTCCTGAGTGGAATGAGGCTTCCAGAACAAGCTGGCAGGAATTCCACGGCCATTCCCACCTTCCCTGGCTGGGATGGAGACCCACACTGGGCTCACACAGCACCACGTGGGTGGATTTCCGATGGAAGCTGGATGTTAAAATTCCAGCTGTGGAGCCCCTTGGCATCACCCCCAACCTCAGGTGGAGACTGCAATTCCCTTTGTGCCTCCTGCTTTTTTAATTCCCAAGCTCCGTGGCCACAGGGAGAGGGAAAAGGTGAGTCTGGTCAAAATGCCACCGACAAAACAAACGAAAGGCAAAGGACTCACAGCAAACTCATTGTCTGGATCCTTCTCTCCTTTCCTGATGGGTCTGGAGTGGGTGAATTGCTGCACCTCGTTGGCTCTGTAGTAGCTGGGAAGAGGCAGAGTAAAAAGGTGATTTTTCTCATCTCCCATCCTCCTCACTTGAATGTTCAAGTAGCTCCCCACGGTTTGTGGGGAGGAATTTATGGTTTACATGAGGCATGGAGGCACAGCACCTCGTGCCCAGGTTAGCGGGGAAAACTCAAGCAAAATAGTGAGGGAGGAGAAAAATAAATTACTTTAAGATCTGTTCAGGAACAGGTTTGTCTTTGTAATGAGGTGGCAGGTTCATCACAGGCTTTACAATGAAGCACTGCACATCTGAGCAGCATGGGTTAAGGATGAAAAACTAGGAACCCTTTTGGGAAAACAGGAGAGGGAGAGAAAAACCCTTCCTGCTTCCATTGTCAGACTTTTCCACAACTCCCTGTGTTCTTGTTAAGTGCTTTCCTTCAAACCTGGCTAATTCATCACCCATCACAGACATTATGCTGCATCTTGTAGGCTCCTTGTGAATTAAAAACCCAAAAAGAAAAGGACTTTATATACATAATATATAAATACATCTAATATATAGAAAATATATATGTAAATATATATTATATACTTCCAAATATTTCTATTATATATACTTATATTTATATTATACATTTATATAATATAAACAAACATATAATATATAATAGATATTATATATTATATTAAAATATTTATATATAATATATATAATATAAATATATGTATAAATACAAATATATACACAAATATATAAATATAAATAAATAAATAAACAAATATATCTATATATTTGTATATATAAAAATATAAAAGTAATAATCCCAGAATGGTTTGTGCCACCTCCTGCCATGGACAGGGACAACTTCCACTATCCCAGGGTCTGTCCAGCCTGGCCTTGGACACTCCCAGGTGCTGCAATTCCCTGGTGAAAATGCCTGGGAATCCTGGGCACCACTGATTTCTACTGTGGGAGACCTGAAAAAAGGGCAATGGGGTTCTGTGGATGCTTCTGGCTCTCCTCTCACCCCACAGTTTTTTACCAGAGGCTGCAGCTCCTTCCCTCCCACTTTTTAGATTCATGAAACCAACTGAACAAAGGAATTGCTTCATCCTCAACTTTTGCACCTGTGAATAACGACAGGCGTCAAGAAATCTTATTAATTGCATCCCCAAGCACAGCAGCTTATGTTCCATCAAAATTCTGCTTTAAGGACTGTGCTGAGGCTTTACAGGAGCAAAAACCTGTCTGGAAAAGCAAAGCTTAGCCAAGGTGCTCAGGAGATGATTTCCTGAGTGAGTGTCCTGCCCTCTGAGGTGGCAGTGGGGGGCTAAGGCAGCCCCCACACATCCTTTAATTCACTGAGGCTGCTCTGAGGAGCATTTTGAGAGCCCAAGTCACCCTGCCCGCAGAGAGGAGCCAAAGCTGAGTCCAAAAGCACACAGCCATGTTAGCTCAGGCTCAGAGCCCCAGCTGATGAATTCTGTGTCAGGCTCAGTGCCCCAGCACAGCTCCCAGTGCCCAGATGGGGCAGGGAACCTCTGAGGCTCAGCACAGCTCACCTGGCAGCCCCAAAACATTATTACCAAAAAATGAACGAGGTATTTTGTCATAAAAGAGCAGAAAAAACAACCTAAAGAAATAAAAAAGAGCCTGAGGCAATGGAGGTTAAAGGAGCCTGAAAGTTAAAGCAACCCCAGAAGCAGCAAGGTCTGCCTAACACAACAGAGATCTGGGCACTCCTCATCTACTCAGGAAGTGTTTGTGGGAGTCCAAGGAGAACCTGTCCCAAATCCAAGCCCTGCAGCTGCTCTCTCCATCCCAGGGCTGTGCCAGAGTCCCGGAACCCAACACCCCCAAACCTTTGGGACGGTTTAGATCTGCATCCAAATTCTGCAGCTCGGGTTCAGAAACATCAGAACAAACACAAACAGATGCAAAGGAAGCAGCTGAAACAAAGCAGCAACAGAAGAGGCATTTTTGATACCAAGTTTGGTCTTGAATGGATTTTAATTTCCTATGTGGATTCAGCGCTTGGCAGCAGGATTGCAGAGGAGCATCTGCTAGCACTGCCTGGGCTGGGCCTCTGTGCACAGGGTTTGAGGGCCAAAATGGACCTGCAGATCCTCCAGCCTGGCCTGGTGAGCACAGGCTGGAAGCCCAGGAATTTGGTTTTCCTGGCATGCATCCTCCAGGAGCCACAGACTGAAATCTCTGGCAGGAATCTGGAGCATCTCCACTGGCTCACACAACTCAGAGGATCTTAAGGCTGGTGGGGAGCTTGGGACACAGCTTGGAATCCCACCAGCAAGGGGGAAAATAGGAATTAAAAAATAGTTAGGGCTCTGAACCCAACAACTTTCAGTGACATCATCACTTCACACTTTTTACAAAGGGACTTTCAGGGGAAAAAAAACCACACAAACCCCAGCACTTCATAAATGCTAATGGAGTGTGAGGAAGAAGGGAATACCCTTCACTTTTCATCCCACTTTCACAGGCTGCATTTCACATCTTTCACCCAGAAATACCCAGCTGGGTCCCCACATGGCCAGAGCAGTCAGCACCACCTGCGTGAGAACACGGGAAATCCTTCCTACAATCTGCTCCTCATCCTGACAGCAACTTGTTTAACTCTGACAGCGCCAAGCAGCCTTTAAATCCACCCTTACAGCTCTGGACAGCCCCATTTTCACACCCAGGGCCAGCCTGGAGCAAGAATCCCCTCACTCATCGCTCATCGTTCCTGCTGTTCACCAGCTGCCTTCTCGTGGCGAAGAGGCAGCTCTGGGCTGCACCAAAATGCCCCAAACCCAAAAGATACACTGTTTGGGGGAAGCCTTGATCTCCTCTGCTGGAGGGGCTGTGCTGGTCATCTTCTCAGCACTGGGGAACTGGGTCAGCAGCTTCAGGTTAAAATCCTCTCTCCGCTCATACTCCTTGCCACGGTAGATGAACATCTTGTTCTGTGGGCAGAAGGAAAAGGGAATTAAAATTCAACAAAGTAGTGGGACAGAGCACTCCAAATCTGACCCCCAGAGCTGGTTTAGGGGAAGGGTTGATCCCAGCTGGACAGAAAAGGTGGAAGAAGGAACATGAGCTGGAATGAGGGCACAGCAACTCCCAGGAGCCAGGCCTGGCAAGGAGAACCTCAGATTTGTCTAAAAAAATCCATTGCTCCACAGAGAATCATCAAACAGAGTTGGAAAGGAGCTTTTAAAGGCTACCTGCAACGAGCAGGGACATCCTCAAGCAGGTGCTGATGGCCACACAAACACATCCCAGAGTCAGTGAGCTGCTCACACCTCCCAGCACTCACAGGTTCAACACAGGCAATCTCAGCCAGGAGCTGGGTTTTAGTAACAGAATAAATGTGCCAAGAAATTCCTAAATACAGGGACCTGCCTGCCAGCCCCTGCTGGGACCTCTCTGAGGGGTGTCCCTGGGCACAGGTGCAAATTTTACCTCCACCCACAATGTCCAGTTTTGCTCTACACACCCAAAACCAGACCATGGCTGATTATTTTTCCACCTAGCAGTGGTTTCTGGAAGGGATGGGTTCCAAAACATGACTTGGAGTTGAAAGCTTTCCATGCCATCTCCTCACACAGTTCTAACTTAATACTCTTCTCATTTAAGCCTGGCTTCCGCTGAAGACCAGAATTTCAAACAGTTCCAGTCTGAGAAGGTAAAATGGACCTGGATTTTAAATAACAGGAATATTTTCAGCCTTGTTGACCCTGGATCTGAGTTATTTCCGTCCTCCACACAGGTCCAGCAGTGCTCAGCTGCTTAAATAAGAAGCATCTTTGCACTTGAATTCTTTTGTGTGGGACAAACTCTCTCTGATCACTGAAATTATCCCTGTCCTGAAAATTTGGTTGGTTGAGGCTGAAAAGCAATGGGATAAATTCTTAACAGGCTGAACATTTTCTAACAGCAACAATCACATTCCAGAGGGAGCACAAATATGAAAGGTAAATTCTGTTTAAATCCATAGAAGAACTTATCAATCATCTAAAAAACCTATTTATTGTAACACCCCAAACCCACTCGAGCTGGTAACACACAAAATTTCATCTCCGACTCGTCTCTTTTTAGACTCTGAAATGCTCTGAAACACTCCTGGGATTTAGATCTGTCAGTGCCACTGCAAGAAAAAAAGAGTTTGGCACTGAATTTTCTTGGAAGCTCTGCAAAAGTTGTGACTTTTAGGGTCTCCAGCACTGCAGAGGTTGGGTGGGGAAGGACCCTTACCCGCAGGAAAGAGGGAAAACCCTGTCCATAGTATCCCACAGCAAAGTACTCGGGCTGAGGTCTCATGGCCTTCATGATATTCTCATAAAAAGTAGCTCTTTTTTTCTGGAAAAGAAAACAACACCACACTTTCACTTTGGAATACTCCAGGACACTGCCAGCTCACATTCCCAGGAACAATTCCTGATCTCTGAGCTCTGCCCTCAGAACACACTTCACAATTGCTTTTTTGATGCAGTCTCTCATCCTTATCTATTTACTTGATTAAATATTTGCTTTGTCTGGGCCTGAACCAACTTTATTTCCTGGTCTGCAGACATGAGAACAACGCCATGGCTTTTAGGATTCCAGGATACTTGAAATCCTTCACTGTGGGAAAACAAATGAAATATAAATATATTCTGAAAGTGAGCAGACACAAATGGTGACAAATGTCAGAGAACTGGCAGAAATAAAACTGGGCAGATGATTCTGCTATGAAAGAACATAAAGACCATCTGCTTCCATCCTTAACCACTAAAAAGCAGAATTCAGAGCCAAGAGGATTCTATAGCTGTGTTCATGCCCAGCACTTTTACCACAGAAATAATAAGGTGATGAGATTTATGGAGCCTGAAAACACACCTTGGCTGTTCCTTCACTTGGTTAAAATCAAGAATTCTAAACATCTGCACAATGCATTATCATGCTAATTAGAAATGATAAAAATATTTATTCTACTACTAACCTCTACAAAGCCATGGGGTTAAGTTGGTTTGTTTGTCTTTAACATGAATTTATTTTAGGCTTATCCTGCTTGAACAGTATTAATTTAAGCAGTCAGCAGCCTCCTGGAAATGGAGAAAAAAAGCCTTACCAGGAGATTACCAAGTCCCTCGTAGTCAAAGACCTTGTTTTCATACATGTCAGCCAACTCCTTGCTCAGCTGAATGGCTTTTTCCCACATCTCCAGGGAGGGTGAGGTCGGGCAGGAAGGGGAGGAAGAGCACAAGCAACATGAAAGACTCAGTTAAAAGCCTTCATTAGCGCAGATAGGTAAACAAAAATGCAGCTGATTTTAATTCAGGCACTCCTTTCATGCTCTGCCAGGTTTCCCTCAGATTCTGCTGTGCATTTTTCCTTTTGCAGGGATTGTTACAGTCATACAGATCTCGTGGTTTGGAGATCTGAGAGTGAGTTACAAAGCCAGGTCTCCACTGAGATCCTGACAGGACAAACGAGGCACTGGCAGGAGGAATGACAGGTCTGAACAGCAGAGAGAGAAGCCCAGGAGATATTGGACAGGGGCTCCTTGGGTTTGTCTCATCATGGAATCATGGAATTTGGGTGGAAAGGGACCTGTAAGCCCAGAGCCACCCCTGCCATGGCCAGGACACCTCTCACTGTCCCAGGCTGCTCCAGCCTGGCCTTGGACACTCCCAGGGACCCAGGAACAGCCACAGCTGCTCTGGGAATTTCATCCCAGCCCCTCACAGGGAGGAATTCCTTCCCAAGATCCCATCTAAATTCCCTTATTTCAGCTTAAAGCCATTCAGCCCTGGCAGAACCCTCTCCAAGGAGCAGCTCCCAGGAGAGCGCAGCCAGGGAAGCCTCTCTCCCTGCAATCCCAAAAACCTGAGCCACTCCCAGGGGCAGGAAGGAAAACACCTGCTCTGTTCCAATCTACCCAGAACCTTGGATAGCTTCACTTTCCAGACACTCTTTGGCCATTTTTTAATTCAGTTAATTTTATTAATTATTTAAATATCTTCAGACAAACACGTGCCCTGCTGATGGCAGAGCTGGGATTCCCATCAAAATCCCAGCCTGTTGTGGAACCACATCTGCTTTTACCCTTTTAACCAAGCCCTGCCACAAGCCCTGAGCCAAGAATCCACCAGTAAGGAAAGCCTAAATGCAAACCAAAGCGGATTTGCTGTAGGAACAGGGTGAGACTCTCACCTTGCCCCTGTCGAAGAAGGAGATGATCTCCTGGTAGAGTTTCTCCTTGAGCTCCTGCTGGGAGTACACATAGTAGGTGTCCCTCTGCAGCAAGTGGGGGACACAGGGCTTCTCTGACCACTGGAACAGGGAAAAAGGCAAAGGTGAAAGAACTGGAACATTTCCAGAGAAATTCTTACAGTGGGTGACTCAAATCTCTCATTGCTGCAGGAGGATGTAACAAACTGATGCTAATAATTACTTTACTTTTATCATTATTATTTAATTATATAGTATTTATTATAATATATTTATGTAATTCATTGTAATTATATATCAATATATTAGTATTAATATAACTATTAATATATTTCTATTAATTCATTATAATGATATATATAATATTATTTCTATAAATTTATTATTTCTATTATTATTCATTCTAATGAATAATTATTTGTTTATATATTATTTTAGATATTTTACTATATACAATTCTTATATATTATATGTACGTCATTTCTCATTACAATTATTATATTTTATATGTCTATTACTGTTTCTCATTATATGTAAATATATAATTATATATAATTATATATTTTATGTATAAAAATATATATACATATATAAAACTATATACATATATATTTTATATAAAATATAGTTATATGTATAAAATATATACAAAATATATAAAAATCTCTATAAATATCTAAAAATATAAATATATATAAATATCTAAAAATATATAATATTTTGCTGCAGAATCTGCATGACTCTGACACCCCTCAATGACCACTGGTACCTACATGATTCAAAGTCACATTAAATACAGAAAACAAAAAGCAATTTGATTATTCTGAGTTGTTTGTGCCTCATTTCACTCCAAACCCTGGAATACCTGGAGCAGCTCAGCGTGCAGGAGCAGGGTGTAGGCAGCCTCGGTGAAGTTCTCACAGTCTGAGTGCAGGTCCCTGAGTTTGTACAGATACCTGAACAAGGCAAAAGCAATTCCTCGATGGGAAGGACTCCTGTATCCAAGGGACCACCGAGGGGAAAAAAGGTTTTTCCAGGCTCTTGGAGGGACACAGCCTACCTGATGTAAATGTCCTCTCGCTTCTTCTCCTTGTAAAAATTCTGCCAACAACAGAAAATGTCAAACATTGGCAATGTAGAGCACCACAGAGCTGCAGAATTATCTCTAGACAGAGTGGTTTTAGGTATTTCAGGGATATTTGCTGTCATTTTGGCAGCTCAGGTGGATCCAGCCTTTCATACTGGGGGGCACCAGCACCGCCAAAAAAGGGACAGATCAGAGAAATCACTTGTCTCAAGTGGGAACAGGGATCCCAACCATCAGCCAGGCATCTCCTCTGCCCGTGCTCCAGGCTTCCAGATTTTGGACTCTCCATCTTTCTGTGCTTATTGCTCTGGAGCCTGACTTGGGCACATCATTAACCAAAAATGGCAGGAGGAATTCATTCAAATCCTCCCCTTGATCAAAAACAATCCCAAGGGGGTCTAGAAAAGCCCAGGGGTCCTCAGCCCATTGGAGAGGTCCCCAGCCCAGGGGAGGGGTCCCCAGCCCAGGGGAGGGGTCCCCAGCCTGTACCAGCACGTTGACAGTGCAGCTCATGCGGTTCTCCTTGCTCTCGTCATGCATGATGGTCCGGTAGTCCAGCAGGTTCTCCAGGAGGCTGCTGACCAGCAGGGCAAACACCTCTCCCGGGGCTGACAGGTACTTGTGCTTCCTGCAGTGCTCCAGGAGCCTGTGGGGACACCCGAGGGAACTCAAGGGAAAGAGGATTTCACTGTGAATTACCCAAACACTTGTTCCTGGATGAGCACTCAGTGCTGGACACGCACACCTGAGATACCCAGCTCAGGCGGGGCAGGTTGGTCAAAAAAATTGAGTTTTTGTTGCTAAAAGCTCCAGTTTTGATGTAACTTTGAGCCTGCTCTTCCACTTGTAGACCCCTCGCCGGTTTGGCAGCTGACTCTGAATTCCAGCTCCAGTTTAGGGCAGTTAGAAGTGCAGAATAAACCCCTCATTTTTGGGCGATCAGCCCCAGAACAGCTGCACAGCACTAAGATCACAGCAGCTGCACCAGCTCCCTGCTCACTGGAATAATTAATGAGTTAGGGCTTCTTTACATTAGAAAAGCAGCCCAATAAAGGGTAAAAAAAAAGATATAAGAAGAGCCTGCAGGTGCTTTATAAAACTCACAGTTTCTCCAGCAGGACCTTGTACTGCTCATCCCCTCGGCCCCCCTCCACCTCCTGGTCCAGCTTGGTGATCAGCTCGTTTTCAAACTGGAAAGGCAAAAATAGAAACCCCCAATCAAGCAGAGAGCAGCTCTCGGGAGCAGGGGCTGGGACCAGAACAGCCTGAGCTGCTCCTGACCCAGCACAAGAGTAAAAAGCCCAAAATGACAAGGTTGGAGCAAGGAAATGCAAGGCCTCCCTGTCGCACCCCTCCCAGCCTGGTGTAATTAAGCAAGCACAGAATCCTAATATTTGATTCTCTGTGGAGTCACAGGGGATTTATGTTGTTATTGTAAAGGGAAATAAATAGCTAAAATGACATTTGACACCCTCTGTGGGTCTTCAAATGGCTTCCCAGTTTAGAGGTGGGCACTGACACCTCTGCAAATGCAGGGAAGGGTGAAGAAAGGAGAATTCAGGGATTATCAAAGTCATGGAAAGGCTCAGTCAGGACAGATCTGAGAAGTTCTGAACCCTCCAAACCCCAGGGACTTCCCCAAGGGGTTTGGCACAATTTTAGGTAGGGATTTTTTTTTGTTTTGTTTTGTTTAAATATTCTATTTTTCTTTTGCCCTATGGACAATGTGGAATATTTGTAGTGAATATACCAGTATTGTGTATATATTGCAAACGCATGTATTGATGTACTATTCTATATTAATATTATATTTTATATATAATATATATCTATATATATTTTAGTATTATTTTACTATATATATTATGTATAATATAAACATATGTATCTGTATATTTATATATTTATTCTATATATAAATATTTATATAATATTTATATTTATATGTTCATATATTAGATATTTATACATTTTATATATTTAGTGTATTTATATATTATATATATTATTTTATATTAATATAGAACAAATATACTAGTACATTATATATAATACTGTATATATAATATTATATATTAAAATATGGTGTCTTTTTTCCGTATTGTAAAAAAGATACCTATATATTTCATATTATATTGTATTAAATACCTATATGAGATTTTTTATATAAGATATATTTATATATTTTATATATGACATATTTATATATAATACATATATAATAATATATATTATATTTTTATATATTTAATATAGATATAAATATAGATATAATATATAAATATAATTAATATATATGTTGGTTATATGGCATCCCTTACCTTGTGGAAGTTCCCGTTCCCACTGAAGTTGAACTCACACTGCATCATGTCAAAAAAAATGGGAATAGTCGCTTTCCTCAGCTCAGGCTCTGGGACCAGGGTCACCTCCAGGATTGGCCCCACCATTGCTGGGATGAATTTTATTTTGTGAGGACCTGCAAGAAATTTAAAATCAAATACATCCGGTGGCAGGATTTGGATTTCTCGATGTTTAAGCACCTTATTCACACAACATTCTGCTCAGAGTGTGGATTTTACTTAAGGAAGAAATACCAGGTTACAACTCCAAAATTCAGGAATAGCCCAAGGAAATAATTGAGCTGAATTGTAAATCTCAAGAAAAGGCTCTCTAAAAAATCCCACTCATCCTTTACATGGCAGAAAATCCTTTAGAGGGAATCTAAGAAATTATCTCAGCAGCTGATGTGAGGAAAAAAAATCAGCTTTTCCAAGTTATTCACCGGAAAAAGAGGTTTTTGTGTGCTGAAATGGCTGAACTAGAAGTGCATTTCCCCACATTAAATACATGCAGCTTTTATAAGGAAATAACGGATCTGAAAGCCAGTTTGAGAGCTGGAATAGATAATTCTTTAGCTGGAACTCACCCAGGTTATACCACGTATCCCTGATTTTGAAGCCAATTTCTTTCCTCATGTCCCCATACCTAGAAAAAAGTATTAAAAGGAAGAGGTGAGAAAGGCACAAACAGTGAAATGATTCTTGGAATGAAGATCCTTGAAGAAGTGAACGGCAAAACCACAAATGTTCACGTCTTGCTCTGACAGGGGACTGAATTCCCTGGGAATTCAGATCTCCTGAAAGCTGCAGCCCTGCTGCTCCCTGCAATTCCACCCCACTTTGGTTGGATTTGGATGTTTTTTCCTAAAGGCAATGCAGAAAGATTTCATTATCAGGCTTCTTCAAGCCACTTCTGCAGAAAAAAGGGGACAAATCCTAATAAAAGTCCCTGTCAAGATGCTCAGAGATATCCAGGCACCTGATTCCAAGGAAATGAAGAGGTTAAAAGCTGCTCAGAGACTAAAAATTGCTGGTTTGGGACTATGAATGGCTCTGAAAAATATAAAAGTAAAAGGTGGGGGACTAAAAAGCCTGAGGGCTTTTAGGATTCCTCTGACCTACCTTCCACAAAGGCTGAGGAATTGCACAGGGGAATTTTGGGCATCATGACAACTTTTCCATTACAGACCTTCCAGTGGACAGAAGGTGCTAAAACAGTTCAAGATCTGCCTGGCCAAACTTAAAGCAGCCATAATTTACAGCCCTGTTATCTTGGCCTGGTCAGCTCTTTATCACCTTGCCTTTATCAGCATTTCCACAGCAGCTCCTCCCACCCTGGAGCTGCCTAGAACAGCCCAAACGGAGCCTCCAGACACCAAAAAAAAAAAAAAGGCCTGAAAGGTGAACTCACTTCTTGATGATTTTGTTGCGTTTGGCCTGAGAGAAGGTCTCCAGCTGGAGGGACTCGTGAGTGAGGAAGGCCACTGCCAGGTGGAAATAGTTATTCCAGAGCTGGGCGAGAGAAAGGAGATGAAAATGGCAAAAAGGAAAAGCAGCAATGGGCACAAAAAAAGCTGCCCATCCCCAAATGCAGAGCTCCCTCCATGAGGAGGGGAACCACAAGGAGCTGCAGCCTGCTAACAATGGGATTTCGGTGTTCTGTCAGCTCTGGGATCCATAAGAAAATCCAGAAAAAACAGGACAGTTACCTGGAGCTCAAAATGAGCTTGATCCAGGAAGAAGCGGTTGAGGACAGTGGTGAATTGGTTCACTGCCCGCAGGAAAACCCTGAAGAGATAAAAACATCAAATAAAGGTGATTCTGTAAACAAAATAAATGGCATTGCAGCTCTGGGTTTACAGTTCCCATGTGTAAGCTCAGGAGACAGCAACAGATGCTCCCAAAAAAGGCAGGAATTCCTCTAAATCAGGCAACATCCAGGCAAAGTTCTTCCCTGGTTTAACAGCCTCAAGCTGCATCGGGGAGGCTCAGGTTGGGTATCAGGGAAAATTTCCTCTCTGGAAGAGTGGTTAAGCATTGTCCAGTTCTGGCTTTAGGTTTTCCATGTGATTTCCCCAAAATCACAAAACAAGAGCAAAATGGTTTATCTGGCTGAAGCTGTAAAGGAGAGCTCGGGGCTCTCTGGGCAGCAGAGAGACTTCCAGTTCCACCAGTGGAAACACACAGCAACTAAAACTGGCTGAAAACTGATTTAAACCAGCCTGAAGTGGATGAAGGAAATAAAGCTCCTGGTGTGAGTCACCCTCCTATCAGGCCCAGGGAGGCTCCAAAGCCAGTCTTAAGCCAGGCTTAACCCTGTACCTGCTCTGCATCATGTTCATGACCATCCAGTCAGCTGCGTATACGTTCTTCCCAATCAGGTCCTTGAACATAATGAACGTTTCCATCAGGAAGTCCTGTTGGAAAAATAAAGCCCGTCAGGTCAGTAGTTCTGTGTCTGTGGAACTTCAGGGGGATGATGCTGTGACCTCATGAAATGCAAATGTTTGGGCACTGCGTTGATTAACGACCATGCTGATTGGCAATCGATGCCCTGCCTCGCCTAAGAGGGGTCTCTCACTGTGGGGGTGCAGCCCAATAATGAAATTATTCCTGACATCTCATCCATTCAGCTGCACAAGGAGAAATAATTGCACAGAATGCTGGTCTGTTTAATTAAATCTGTCTTCGCTGTTTTGCATTAAGTTGTGCTGGAGGGAGTCCTGTGCACGAGCTGGATTAGAGAGGAAAACCAATATTGCTTGTGCCCAAATCTCTGAGTGGTGACAATGCAACAGAATGATCTATAAAGCCTGAAATTACAATGTATTTTCACTGACTAATCAGTTAAATCTTTCCTGGTCCAGTTTAAGGACAGTGTAACATCAGAGATGTGATTTAGAATTATTCTACATTATCATAGAAAAGACACTTTTTGCACAGACATCCTCCAAACAAGACCTCAAACTTGGGAAAAACAAGGTTGAATTGCAGAATGAGGGAAAAAAAAAAGAAGGAAAATGAAAAGAGATGAGCAAAAGAAGGGAATATCAGGAATATTGATCTCCTCCTTGTGGTCTCAGCAGATACAAAAGCCACTCTGAGCTCTTAAATCAATTCCATTCTCTACAGCAGTACATTAATATTCAAAAATGAGAGGGACACAAAGAAGGTCACAGGAGGAGCCATCCCCTTGAAATGATCATCAGCAAAAAAATCTGTTAAGCTGAAAAGTTTGGGCTGAAGAATTGGCAAGATATTGACGGAGAAATGGAGCACTTGGTGCTGTCTCAGTAAAAATCCTTTTGGCATTATTAAATCAGAGCCTCATGGAAAGGGCTGGACTCGACATGGGCACCTTGAAGATATGAATTAACTCCTAAAAGTGCTAAACTAGCCAGGGAATGATGCCAAACCAGGGCTGGAAATACCAGCACAAGCAAACCCAATAATGAAGAACAAAAATAAAAGTAGTTATTGCAGTAAAACAGAATTTTCTGTTGGTATTAACAACTACCACACAACTACAAAGGAAAGTTTGCTCCTGTAGATTTAAAGGTGTACAAAAATCAGATCAGAAATTGTTATTTTCCATAACCATCCTGAAAATCTTCTCACTGGATGAACAATTCTAGAATTCCTGAATATGCCTAATTTTGGGGTTTTTTTCCCTTCCTTCCTTCTCAAGAAATCATTTGGGCAACTTAAAACCAGTCCTAAACCCACACAAAGCATGAGTGACCTGTAGATGGCTGTGTTGCTCCACGGTGGCTCAACAGCTGATTTTTGAAAGTGATTTTCTGTGAAATTCCGTAATTCCAACTGCACAGGGCAAAAAAACAGATCGCCTTGGCTCCCCAAACTGAATTCCAAACCTTCTGGTGGGTTTTGGTACAGGAAGAACACAACTCCAGGCCCTTCCCCAGCTGGTATTTCAATAAACAGCCACTCCTCAATTGCAAAATAAGGAATAAAGGGACAAAAAAAGCTCCAACAGTTCTTGTGTTGTGTCTTGCTAAAATACTAGTTTGGGCCATTTGGGGGAGTTTGGGGGAAAATCTGCTGATTTTAAGCAGAAAAACCCTTCAGAAATGTCATGTTTCACCTGGTTTCATACCCAAAGTTTTTCAGGATGTGAATTTTTAACATTTTGGGAACTTTTCTGCATTGCTGCCACTCAAGCAAGATTCAAGCATTTAATTAAACTTCATAGGGGAAAAGAATTGGATAAAGGTAATGGGCACAAAGTGAGAGCCAGGGAATTGCTTTTCTTTTCCCTTTTCTGCTTCCTGACTGGAATCAAACATTTTTTACCCATTAAAAATGTTTTTCCTCAATGCTGCAAATACTGAGTCCCCCTGATGCTCAGCAAGGGTGACACAAATAAATTCCCCAAAATTGTGGCACTGCTGCGGGCTTGATCACCCCAGCCTTGGCACAGAAACGGCCCCGCAGAGCAGAGTGTGCTGATGCTGGGTGGGCTGAGCTCATTCCCCAGCCAGGCTGACTTACGATGATGTCCTGCCTGGTTTTGAAAGTGTTGATGTAATGGCTGTAATGGAAATCATCCATCTGCCTCAGGATGGCTGTCATGCAGGCCACGAAAATCCCCTGGAATGGGAAAAACACAAAATGCTGGGTTATTTTCCTAGGTTAAGCGCTGTAACTCCTAAGTGTGGCACCTCAGTGTGACTTAATCAAACACCACTGATCAGAATCCTCCTTATCTATGTCCCGACTTCAACTTCAGACTGTTTGGTCCTCTAAACCTGTCAAGAATTCCTAAAATTCAAGCTTGAAATCTGGGTATTGCTTTCTTTCTCCCCATGGACTACAAAAGAAACACATCCTCCAAACATAGAATTTTATTTTGATATTGATCCACCCCATCAGATCTTGAAGTCTTTTTCCAAGCTGACTCTCTGATTCTCAGATTTAGCAGGGCCAGCTGCAATTCTCATGGGTGGTGCATTAAAGTGACCCCAGACTTAGCAAAAATCAGGTAAATCCCCAGCTCCTGGCTTTCCCATCCCTCTGTACACAAAATCCAGGGTGAATTACAGCACCCCAGCTGCCTGTACCCCCTCAGCTGCTACACAGGGGTCAGAAATGCCCCTGAGGGGGTCTCACCCCTCAGCATTTCATCCTCTTGAGCCCAGGTAACAAAACACAGCGAAGATCCTGTGCCAGGCACTGCCCTGACACAAAATTCTGTGCATAGGGGCCCAAAGGAAATGAAATCACCCCCAGTGACTCAGCTCAAAGTGGAGTAGGATAACCTGAACCCTAATCCTCAGAAAAACAGGAGCTACAGGCACAAAAGCCCCGCAGGGAAAGGAGAGATGAGTTCATCAGGCCACTGAGAACTCCAAGGGGAATGAACCCCCAAGTTAGGGAATGCTGGGAAGGGGGGGAGACAGGGAAAGGCACCCAGGGGAGTGAACCCTGCTGTTAAATGTGCTGGGGAAGAAGGGAGGGGCTTCCAGGAGAATGAACCCCACTGTTAAAGGTGCTGGGGAGGGAGGGAAGACAGGGAAAGGCTCCCAGGGGAGTGAAACCCACTGTTAAAGGGGGCTGGAGTCAGAGGGGAGGCAGGGAAAGGCTCCCAGGGGAATGAACCCTGCTGTTAAATGTACTGGGGAGGGAGGGAAAAGCTTCCAGGAGAATGAACTCCACTTGGTAAAGGTGCTGGGGAAGCGGGGGAAGGCGGGGGGAAGGCGGGGGGAGGGCGGGGGCGGCTCTCACGATGTGCGGGGACTGGCGGCTCATCCCGATCACCGTGCGGTTGACCCGGCGCAGCAGCCGCTCCATCATCAGCTGGGTGTGCAGAGCAGTGGTACCCTGGGGACAGCCAGCAAGGGACATCAGTGCTCGTTCCTCGGACACAGCCTGCCAGGGACAGCTCCCTGCGTGGGAGGACTGCCCTGGCAATGCCTCATTGTCATCAGGGGAAGCAGAAAAAGGAGATTTAAGTGCACAAGTTATCGATTCAAACACTCTGGGATTCACTTGGCAGAGAATTCACTCAATGGATCTGTCCCAGCTTCATCAGCTCATCCTGGGGCTTTCATTTGTTTTTTCTGAACAGTTCAAATAATCTGCTCACAGCCACTCTGAACAATTCCCACGGCCAGAGTGGGAAGTGAATTTTTCTGGCTGAACAGTGATTGTTGTCCCTATTCCACAGCAGAGAGAACGAGCGAGCTCCTCGTTTTTATACCATATAATACTGCTTTGACTTGCTCCAAATTACTGAACAAGCCACCAAAGCAGCTGGGATGACATTTTGGTCCCTAGAAAGGGAAGTAAATGCATCTAGAAGTGATAACAACTAATTCAGCCTTTCCTGGCTCCTTTTCAGGCAAAACCACTACAAAGAACTGCACAGCAAGGCATCACAATTTCTATAAATATCACAATTCTGACTCATTAAGGCATAAGTTGAGGATGTTTCTTTACTGTAACTTCTCAAAAGAAGAACTGAGCTGAGCTAGCACTCCTGAGAGTTCATGCTCACCACATCTTTGCGGTCCAGGACCTCCAGGACATTGCTCAGGAGCTGGGAGCTGGCCTCGTGGTCAGGCTTGCTGGAGTTGTCATCCAGCTGCCCACTGAGTTGATCTATGAGCAGGGGCAGGAGGGCATCTCTGCACTCTGCAAAGGGACACAGGGACAGAGCAGAGCCTCAGCATGCCCTGGACATGGGCTCCTGACAGGAGTGTCCTGCTCCTGATCCCATCCGGGACACCAGGACTTGCCTAAAGCCACTGGAGTTACAACAAAACGGACTGGATAGAGTCACATGAATCATGGAATCCCAGAATGGGCTGGGTTGGGAGGGACGGAAAAGATCATCTCATCTCCACCCCTGCCATGGGCAGGGACACCTCCCACTGTCCCAGGCTGCTCCAGCCTGGCCTTGGGCACTCCCAGGCATCCAGGGGCAGCCACAGCTGCTCTGGGAATTCCATCCCAGCCCCTCCCCACCCTCAGAGGGAGGAATTCCTCCCCAGTATCCCATCTAACCCCACCCTCTCGTTTATAAATTCTGCAAATTCCATCAAACAGCACACTCAGCTTCTCTGTCCCTCTAAATCCCCACCCTGGTTCAGGATCCCACATCTTGGGCACTGTAGAATGACTGAACAGCAAAAAACTCCTCCAGGTCTTCCATGGCAAGGAATGTTTCTAGAACTGGATTTAATGGTGGATTGCCCTGATAACTGGAATGTTTTTAGAGCTGGATTTAATGGTGGATTGCCCCAATGACTGGAATGCTTCTAGAGCTGGATTAATGGTGGATTGCCCTGATGACCGGAATGTTTCTAGAGTTGGATTTAATGATGGATTGCCCCTGTTGACTGGCAGGGGAACTCGTTTTGAAGGGCGTGTGGCCCCTGGCAGAACCCAAAGCCTTCTCATCACTCACCAGCCTGCTTGAACAGGTCACTCTCCACGATCTTGGTCAGGCAGTTCAGCTTCTGCCGGACCAGCTGGTTGTCAGGGATGCTCTGGATGAACTTGCTGAAGAGGACACTGTGGGCAGCCCAGAGGAAGCAGAGGGTCAGCATTCCCACCCAGCATCAGCCCATCCATCCCACACGGACACTGCCCTGCACCTGGGCCAGACACGGAATCACAGGATCCCAGAATGGGCTGGCTTGGAAGGGACTTAAAGCTCATCAACTCCACCCCCTGCCATGGGCAGAGACCCCTCCCCACTGGCCCAGGGTGCTCCAACCTGGCCATGGCCACTTCCAGGGATGCAGGAGCAGCCACAGCTTCCCTGGGAATTCCATCCAACAGGCAAATTACTACAGAGCCCTGAGTTATTTTCAAGAAACTCAGCACAGGACTTGGAAGTAAAACTGAGAAGTGTTCAAGAACTGCAGGCTTAAACCTCTTGAAATTAAGCTTTTATTCCAGGACACAGCAGGTGTATCACAAACCCTCTAAACAGGCACTGCTCTGTCCCTCCAGTGCCAGGCAGGATAATCACACTGGCTGTTACACCCAGGGAAAGCAGGAGTTTGGAAAGACTCATTTTGAACCGACCCAGCAACCCACAGGTGGAACTTGGAACAACCACAGCTGCTAAGGCACATCCTCCTTCCAGATGACCCCTTCATCAGGAGTGATGACTCACTCCAACCTGAGATTCCCGTAAAATTAAATTCCATGGACATTTGCTGCCTGTCTGCTGCTTCCCAGCAAATCACTTGTGTCAGGACATGGAGATGGGGCTGGGCAGCTCTGGTCAAAGCTCTGAGCACCAAAACCAGGAACCCACAGGGCTGAGAATTTCCTGGATAAACACAGCTTTTGGTTTCCCAGCTAAGGCTCTGCCTTAGCCACACTTTAAGAAGCATTCACCAAGAACCGGTGGAAACTTGTGCAAGATTTCAACACTTCACTGCCCTCAGATTTCGCTTTTCAGTAAAATCTCAAGGTGCCTGTAAGGATCCCAGAGTCCTAAAATGGTTTGGATAGGAAGGGAGCATAAAATCACCCAGCTCCACCATGGACAGGGACACCTCCCACTATCCCAGGTCACCTGTCTCACCTGGCCTCGGACACTCCCAGAATGAAAAATTGGGATGCACAGAATGCTCTGAACTCCACTGACTACCTTTCAAGCTCTACAAGCACTTCCTCGAGTCCATGCACCATTAACGAGAGTGGCTTTTTTTTAGCCAAGTTTCCAAAATTCTTCCCACCAGATGAGCTGGATTTAGAGGACAAACAAACTTAACACCGTTACCTGAGCTCAACGGGGTCAAATACCAGTTTGACATCATTGATGATGCTTGGCAAATACTTCAAAGCTGCCCCCTGAAAGAAGAAAGAAACTAAGGACATGAAATGCACGTAGGAAACAGCGTTTTTGTCAAAAGCAAATATGGGGACAACTGCAGAGAACTGGTTTAAAATCAAATTTATGCATCTGCAGAGCCTCCAGCCACCCCAGATGTGCAGTGCACAGTGGGAAAGGTGGAGGAGGAAGAGGGATTAATGGGTAATTCTCTCATTCTTTTTTTCTGGCCCAGCCCCTTCCCAACTGCACCAGTTGATCTAATTAAAGATTTTTACTTTTCCCTGGAAATCCTGCTCACCTTGATCTTGACAGCCTCCTCCAGGGGCCGATCCATGAGGATGTTGAAGGAGAGGAACAGCTGGCGAATTGCATCATTGAATTCATTCCCATCCTCACTTTTCCCATAAACACTGCAAAGAACAGGGCCAGTTACACACAGAAATCCAGCAGCTGAAACAGGATTTCATCCTGTGGAACAACATCTTAATGGCATCTCCCTCTACAAAGACATGGGGGTAAAAATGGAATTGGAGATTTTGCAGTCATTTCCTGCTGGAATCTGTTGTAGGGGGAAAATTGCATTTTTTAGGCTGCTACTGCAGCAAATTCTGCTTGAGTTCCCAGCATTAAACAGGAAAATAATCCAGAATGGCCAGAAATAATCCAGAATAAAGGGTTTCAAACCCTCACTGTGTATCTCTGGAAAGACGTTTTGAAACTGCAATTAAACCACTGTCATTGATTTTACCCCAACTGGAGAATAATTTAAGTGTCTGTGAATTTGTTTCTTAAAGTTTCTGAAAATGAGGAAGAAATTCCATTATTTGCTTCATAAAAACAAATATTTGGTTCTTTTTCAGCTCATCCATAACCTGCTTGCTGCATGCTAGGGGTGTCTAAAAGGTTTTTTTCTCTTTTCTAATCTGGTATTTTAATTTTTGCTCAACTAATTTGTTCCAGCCACAGACAAAAGGCAGAAAGATCCTCTTAATCAGTCAGTGATAGAGGATTTGGTGAAGAATATCCCCTTTAGTGATATTTACTTGAAGAAACTCCAGTGGGTTTCCCAGAGGAGGCCCAGGGAGGGAAGGGCTGAACCCACCTCAGGTACAATACCCGCGACTGTACGATGAATCTAAACAGGTATTTCAGGGCTTTCAGGGCTGCAAAGAGCAGCTCTGTCTTGCTGGAGTCCTCAGCATTCCCCACGTAGCAGTTCAGGACTTTGGTGAGTTTCCTTTGGAGATAAAACCAAGAGGGGAACTGATACAGGCACGGCTCAGTTCAGAGAGGAATTGCAGCCCCCAAAACACCAGAGCTCCACCTCACAGCCCATTTCCTCCTGAAATCGTGGGCTGAAAGGCTACAGATTCTACACTCTCACTCTGCTTTTTTCTACCCTACAAGGAGCAGTCCAGGAAGCTGCAAAACCCATTCGCAGGGAAACGGGCTGAGGCCTTCTCCCCATGTGAGAATTGCCAGGTGTGGAGCAGGAGACAAGAAAATAGTGTGGAAGCACTGATTGCAGCGAAGGGAAGGTGCGGGAAGGGAAGGTGCGGGAAGGTGCGGGAAGGGGCGGGAAGGTGCGGGAAGGGGCGGGAAGGTGCGGGAAGGGGCGGGAAGGTGCGGGAAGGGGCGGGAAGGTGCGGGAAGGGGCGGGAAGGTGCGGGAAGGGGCGGGAAGGTGCGGGAAGGGGCGGGAAGGTGCGGGAAGGGGCGGGAAGGTGCGGGAAGGGGCGGGAAGGTGCGGGAAGGGGCGGGAAGGTGCGGGAAGGGGCGGGAAGGTGCGGGAAGGGGCGGGAAGGTGCGGGAAGGGGCGGGAAGGTGCGGGAAGGGGCGGGAAGGTGCGGGAAGGGGCGGGAAGGTGCGGGAAGGGGCGGGAAGGTGCGGGAAGGGGCGGGAAGGTGCGGGAAGGGGCGGGAAGGTGCGGGAAGGGGCGGGAAGGTGCGGGAAGGGGCGGGAAGGTGCGGGAAGGGGCGGGAAGGTGCGGGAAGGGGCGGGAAGGTGCGGGAAGGGGCGGGAAGGTGCGGGAAGGGGCGGGAAGGTGCGGGAAGGGGCGGGAAGGTGCGGGAAGGGGCGGGAAGGTGCGGGAAGGGGCGGGAAGGTGCGGGAAGGGGCGGGAAGGTGCGGGAAGGGGCGGGAAGGTGCGGGAAGGGGCGGGAAGGTGCGGGAAGGGGCGGGAAGGTGCGGGAAGGGGCGGGAAGGTGCGGGAAGGGGCGGGAAGGTGCGGGAAGGGGCGGGAAGGTGCGGGAAGGGGCGGGAAGGTGCGGGAAGGGGCGGGAAGGTGCGGGAAGGGGCGGGAAGGTGCGGGAAGGGGCGGGAAGGTGCGGGAAGGGGCGGGAAGGTGCGGGAAGGGGCGGGAAGGTGCGGGAAGGGGCGGGAAGGTGCGGGAAGGGGCGGGAAGGTGCGGGAAGGGGCGGGAAGGTGCGGGAAGGGGCGGGAAGGTGCGGGAAGGGGCGGGAAGGTGCGGGAAGGGGCGGGAAGGTGCGGGAAGGGGCGGGAAGGTGCGGGAAGGGGCGGGAAGGTGCGGGAAGGGGCGGGAAGGTGCGGGAAGGGGCGGGAAGGTGCGGGAAGGGGCGGGAAGGTGCGGGAAGGGGCGGGAAGGTGCGGGAAGGGGCGGGAAGGTGCGGGAAGGGGCGGGAAGGTGCGGGAAGGGGCGGGAAGGTGCGGGAAGGGGCGGGAAGGTGCGGGAAGGGGCGGGAAGGTGCGGGAAGGGGCGGGAAGGTGCGGGAAGGGGCGGGAAGGTGCGGGAAGGGGCGGGAAGGTGCGGGAAGGGGCGGGAAGGTGCGGGAAGGGGCGGGAAGGTGCGGGAAGGGGCGGGAAGGTGCGGGAAGGGGCGGGAAGGTGCGGGAAGGGGCGGGAAGGTGCGGGAAGGGGCGGGAAGGTGCGGGAAGGGGCGGGAAGGTGCGGGAAGGGGCGGGAAGGTGCGGGAAGGGGCGGGAAGGTGCGGGAAGGGGCGGGAAGGTGCGGGAAGGGGCGGGAAGGTGCGGGAAGGGGCGGGAAGGTGCGGGAAGGGGCGGGAAGGTGCGGGAAGGGGCGGGAAGGTGCGGGAAGGGGCGGGAAGGTGCGGGAAGGGGCGGGAAGGTGCGGGAAGGGGCGGGAAGGTGCGGGAAGGGGCGGGAAGGTGCGGGAAGGGGCGGGAAGGTGCGGGAAGGGGCGGGAAGGTGCGGGAAGGGGCGGGAAGGTGCGGGAAGGGGCGGGAAGGTGCGGGAAGGGGCGGGAAGGTGCGGGAAGGGGCGGGAAGGTGCGGGAAGGGGCGGGAAGGTGCGGGAAGGGGCGGGAAGGTGCGGGAAGGGGCGGGAAGGTGCGGGAAGGGGCGGGAAGGTGCGGGAAGGGGCGGGAAGGTGCGGGAAGGGGCGGGAAGGTGCGGGAAGGGGCGGGAAGGTGCGGGAAGGGGCGGGAAGGTGCGGGAAGGGGCGGGAAGGTGCGGGAAGGGGCGGGAAGGTGCGGGAAGGGGCGGGAAGGTGCGGGAAGGGGCGGGAAGGTGCGGGAAGGGGCGGGAAGGTGCGGGAAGGGGCGGGAAGGTGCGGGAAGGGGCGGGAAGGTGCGGGAAGGGGCGGGAAGGTGCGGGAAGGGGCGGGAAGGTGCGGGAAGGGGCGGGAAGGTGCGGGAAGGGGCGGGAAGGTGCGGGAAGGGGCGGGAAGGTGCGGGAAGGGGCGGGAAGGTGCGGGAAGGGGCGGGAAGGTGCGGGAAGGGGCGGGAAGGTGCGGGAAGGGGCGGGAAGGTGCGGGAAGGGGCGGGAAGGTGCGGGAAGGGGCGGGAAGGTGCGGGAAGGGGCGGGAAGGTGCGGGAAGGGGCGGGAAGGTGCGGGAAGGGGCGGGAAGGTGCGGGAAGGGGCGGGAAGGTGCGGGAAGGGGCGGGAAGGTGCGGGAAGGGGCGGGAAGGTGCGGGAAGGGGCGGGAAGGTGCGGGAAGGGGCGGGAAGGTGCGGGAAGGGGCGGGAAGGTGCGGGAAGGGGCGGGAAGGTGCGGGAAGGGGCGGGAAGGTGCGGGAAGGGGCGGGAAGGTGCGGGAAGGGGCGGGAAGGTGCGGGAAGGGGCGGGAAGGTGCGGGAAGGGGCGGGAAGGTGCGGGAAGGGGCGGGAAGGTGCGGGAAGGGGCGGGAAGGTGCGGGAAGGGGCGGGAAGGTGCGGGAAGGGGCGGGAAGGTGCGGGAAGGGGCGGGAAGGTGCGGGAAGGGGCGGGAAGGTGCGGGAAGGGGCGGGAAGGTGCGGGAAGGGGCGGGAAGGTGCGGGAAGGGGCGGGAAGGTGCGGGAAGGGGCGGGAAGGTGCGGGAAGGGGCGGGAAGGTGCGGGAAGGGGCGGGAAGGTGCGGGAAGGGGCGGGAAGGTGCGGGAAGGGGCGGGAAGGTGCGGGAAGGGGCGGGAAGGTGCGGGAAGGGGCGGGAAGGTGCGGGAAGGGGCGGGAAGGTGCGGGAAGGGGCGGGAAGGTGCGGGAAGGGGCGGGAAGGTGCGGGAAGGGGCGGGAAGGTGCGGGAAGGGGCGGGAAGGTGCGGGAAGGGGCGGGAAGGTGCGGGAAGGGGCGGGAAGGTGCGGGAAGGGGCGGGAAGGTGCGGGAAGGGGCGGGAAGGTGCGGGAAGGGGCGGGAAGGTGCGGGAAGGGGCGGGAAGGTGCGGGAAGGGGCGGGAAGGTGCGGGAAGGGGCGGGAAGGTGCGGGAAGGGGCGGGAAGGTGCGGGAAGGGGCGGGAAGGTGCGGGAAGGGGCGGGAAGGTGCGGGAAGGGGCGGGAAGGTGCGGGAAGGGGCGGGAAGGTGCGGGAAGGGGCGGGAAGGTGCGGGAAGGGGCGGGAAGGTGCGGGAAGGGGCGGGAAGGTGCGGGAAGGGGCGGGAAGGTGCGGGAAGGGGCGGGAAGGTGCGGGAAGGGGCGGGAAGGTGCGGGAAGGGGCGGGAAGGTGCGGGAAGGGGCGGGAAGGTGCGGGAAGGGGCGGGAAGGTGCGGGAAGGGGCGGGAAGGTGCGGGAAGGGGCGGGAAGGTGCGGGAAGGGGCGGGAAGGTGCGGGAAGGGGCGGGAAGGTGCGGGAAGGGGCGGGAAGGTGCGGGAAGGGGCGGGAAGGTGCGGGAAGGGGCGGGAAGGTGCGGGAAGGGGCGGGAAGGTGCGGGAAGGGGCGGGAAGGTGCGGGAAGGGGCGGGAAGGTGCGGGAAGGGGCGGGAAGGTGCGGGAAGGGGCGGGAAGGTGCGGGAAGGGGCGGGAAGGTGCGGGAAGGGGCGGGAAGGTGCGGGAAGGGGCGGGAAGGTGCGGGAAGGGGCGGGAAGGTGCGGGAAGGGGCGGGAAGGTGCGGGAAGGGGCGGGAAGGTGCGGGAAGGGGCGGGAAGGTGCGGGAAGGGGCGGGAAGGTGCGGGAAGGGGCGGGAAGGTGCGGGAAGGGGCGGGAAGGTGCGGGAAGGGGCGGGAAGGTGCGGGAAGGGGCGGGAAGGTGCGGGAAGGGGCGGGAAGGTGCGGGAAGGGGCGGGAAGGTGCGGGAAGGGGCGGGAAGGTGCGGGAAGGGGCGGGAAGGTGCGGGAAGGGGCGGGAAGGTGCGGGAAGGGGCGGGAAGGTGCGGGAAGGGGCGGGAAGGTGCGGGAAGGGGCGGGAAGGTGCGGGAAGGGGCGGGAAGGTGCGGGAAGGGGCGGGAAGGTGCGGGAAGGGGCGGGAAGGTGCGGGAAGGGGCGGGAAGGTGCGGGAAGGGGCGGGAAGGTGCGGGAAGGGGCGGGAAGGTGCGGGAAGGGGCGGGAAGGTGCGGGAAGGGGCGGGAAGGTGCGGGAAGGGGCGGGAAGGTGCGGGAAGGGGCGGGAAGGTGCGGGAAGGGGCGGGAAGGTGCGGGAAGGGGCGGGAAGGTGCGGGAAGGGGCGGGAAGGTGCGGGAAGGGGCGGGAAGGTGCGGGAAGGGGCGGGAAGGTGCGGGAAGGGGCGGGAAGGTGCGGGAAGGGGCGGGAAGGTGCGGGAAGGGGCGGGAAGGTGCGGGAAGGGGCGGGAAGGTGCGGGAAGGGGCGGGAAGGGGCGGGAAGGTGCGGGAAGGTGCGGGAAGGGAAGGGAAGGTGCGGGAAGGGTAGGTGCGGGAAGGTAAAGTAAGGTAAGGTGCGGGAAGGTAAGGTGCGGTAAGGTAAGGTGCGGTAAGGTAAGGTAAGGTAAGGTAAGGTAAGGAAAGGAAAGGAAAGGAAAGGAAAGTCAAGGAAAGGAAAGGAAAGGAAAGGAAAGGAAAGGAAAGGAAAGGAAAGGAAAGGAAAGGAAAGGAAAGGAAAGG